GGGCGTAATTGGTTTAAGGGCCAGGACCATAAAAACCGTGCGGGATCGAAACCGAAATAATTTTACGGGACTGGGACCGGAACCGGGACCGAAACAACCTTACGGGACTGGGACCGGGACGGGACCGGAACCGGGACCGAAACAAGTTTACGGGACTGGGACCGAGACGGGACCGAAACAACTGCACGGGACTGGGACTGGAACCGGGACCAAAAATCATCGGTCCCGCCCATATCTACTTGTAAGTGATGCCCACATTGAGAAAAGGGCTTTAAAGATGTCGCTAGTCGACCGTATTTAGTAGAAAAGCAGCTAGCACGATTATTTTGAAGCCATTTCTCGCAAGTCAGAAGTTTTAAATTTCAACTATTATATCTACTATGTTGAGTTATTTTGTTGAGGGTCTTTTCAACATTGCCATTAGTATATTGAAAGAACCAATTTCCGTTTCAGTCTCTGTGTTTCGAAAACATAAACAAACAAACAAACGATGTTTTTTTAGCTTCAGTAAACAGTATCTGCAAGGAGCCAGGATCAGTGCGAATTGCCATAGATAGTCTCTCCTTAGGACTACTATTTGGAAGAAAAAAAACAGATAAATGATCTAACGGTCAAGGGCTGCTGTTTCTATGGATTCCGTCGATTGCTTGCGGATGCTTCATCTTGTCTTAAATACCTGGCAAAAGAATCACAATCAATAATCACCCATTCAAACTAAATAAACGGACAAAACCAAAAAACTTTTACTTTTAGTGGAACCTAAGAATAAAAAACTATTTGACATTTAGATGCTGTCCATTTTTCTGAGTTTTCATCAGCCACATTCATAACATGTAATACACGTGTCTGGGATTGATGCTCATGATCGCTACGTCAAAATGTGTATCAACTCATCCACCTCAGATTAAGCAATGTCTGGATATCTTGAGAATCAGCTGAAGTCATCTGTTTAACAAACATTGGATTACTGGCTTCCAACGATGTAAGAGCTTACTATACATAGGTTGAGTCTTTATCTTTGACTTAGTTTCTAAATAACAGTGGAGAAGGCTGCTTAAGAAACTGATTTTTCTCAAAGTGTTATAGACACTGGTCAAAGAGTTTTCTAAATAACTAGGCATCACCAGTCTGGCATTTTCTTATTAGTATTATTTTGTAGATGAGTGACGTATATCGTATTTTAGCATTTGGTGATAGTTTGACAGAGGTACAGTATGAATAAACATGACAGGTGGAATTGTAGTTGACAGTTCTGTTTTTCATTTGTTCTAGGGCTTCCACTTTGCCGGATTTCGCTATCATCCGTGTGAGTGGAGCGAAGGAAATGCAATCTATGTAGAAAACTTAAAATCATTCGTTCTATTTAGATGCTACACGTCTAACTGAATTAATAGCAAACCACTGTGAGTGGGTTTATGATGGCGATCTAAATCGTCCAAAAATTGAAGTAAGTGACGCAAAAGTAAATAAACAAGTGCTTCTGATTTTTCTTTATTCTGTTCGTTTTTTCTTCGTACAATCTGTCTTTACTATCTACTTTCATTTTTATTTTCTTATTTTGAAAGGTTTGTGCGAGTGGAAGAAGCGGCGAACGGGTATTAGATGGAATGATTGAACGTTTAAAAAAAACGTTAGACACCGTTGAAAATGAATCACATTTTCGATGGGTAATAATTTTGGGTGGTATCAATGATCTGTCATTGGGTTCAGAGCCAGAACGAATTATGGACGGTTTAAGACAAATGTACGATATGGTTTATCGCCATGGTGCAAATCTCGTTATTATGACTGTGACCGAATCTGGCCTAGTTAAAACGAATGACCCTAGAGATGAAAAACGCCATCGATTAAATACGTTAATTAAAACATATGCATGGGAAAATCATTTCGCCGGTGGAAAACGAACATTTTGTGTGGATTTAGATAAATTAATTCCGTGGCATCGACCAGATATGGTTGAAAAAAAGTTACTGTGGGACGATCATATGCATTTAACTCCGAAAGGTTACGATAGAGTAGCCGAATTAATATTTCAAGTTATAGTTGATTATTTGAATCTCAAATGAATAAATAACAAAAGTAAACCACATGTCTTTCGTAGAAACAACAATAACAGAAAATTCTTTTTTTTGATAAAACTGAAAAATTTTTCACAGATTTAGTACGCACACAATTTTTTGTATCGGTTATATGTGATATACGCACGGTGAGCTTTTTGAAAAATCATATTTTGAACATCCTTCCTTTGTTACTGACTCGTATTTCTGTTTTATGTTTGTCTATTAGTTATTTGTACCGTTTATTTCTATCTCACATTTTTATACAAGCGCAGTATTTACTTCTTTTGATGGTGTATTTATTTTATTTTGAACGATATTCATGCTCTTTATCTTACGTCTGCACTGAATGTTACACAGTCTAAAAAAAATAAACAAATTAATAGTCTTCTCACATTATTTGCTAACATTTCCAAAAGTTTAGGTCAATACACTTTGAAAATTGACTACACGAGTACTATTTTGGAATAATGTGAAAACTATTGTGAAGTTGTGATATATCTCCCTCAAAGATTAAAGTATTGTTCTAAAAAACAGCCAGCGTTTAGCTTCTCCTTCATTATGAAAAAATAACTTTTTTAGAAACTGTGCTAATATTAGATGTGATACTATTTAAAAACAAAACTATTCATGTATTCAGTTCGTCGCACTATTATGACGTACTTTAATATTCTTTACTTTAACACAACAACAGCAAACTCTTTAGCTGATATTTTTTTGTCTCATGAACCTAACTGATTCAGTTTTTAAAAACTCTCTGATACTAATTGTGAAAAGAACAAAGTGTGCTGAGATTTCATGGTACGTTAAAAGGTTAGACGTTGAATTATATAACTATATACCTTAATTGTATTAAAAGTGTGTCTTTTCTCAACTTTAGTTTGTCTCCTTTTCACACATCAATAGATTTTATTAATCTAAACCAAGTAATTGTTGTCATTGTCTAGATTACGTCACGAACTTTCTATCGCTAATTTCATTTAACTGTGTTTATATTCAATTCTATGTATACAGAAATTAAACCGTTCATCTCTGAAAGAAATCAAACTTGCATGTTTGTCAAATGCTCGGATCAACTACCACCCGTTGAGAAACACTTGTTTAAATTTTTTTAGAGTGAAAAGTCCCTGATATAAGTAGAAAAATAGATTCAATGGACTAGCAGAAAAAGAATTATTTAAGCAAATTCTATAAGTAAACTACAGTTGTGATCACGCATTTAGATTATTATCAGATAAATGAGATGGCGCTTTTTTTAAATAAGGGAAACACATGCGTTTTCGTCGGTCTGACCAATATCAACTAGTCTTGCTCACAGTAAATTGTTCGATTGAGTTCAAAATTTGAAAACAAAAGAATCGATACTATTTCAAGAACGCTTATTTAATAGGTCTAACGTAAGAAATTGTTCTCTTTGCATTTTTCATCGTTTTCGAATAGACTTTTCCCGACATTCAGTAAATGTTCTATAATTCACCTCAAACTGATCTCTTTGAGCTTGAATTTTTTTCTATGGACTCAAATTTAAAAGAGCTCCGAAAATGGTAGAATGGAGCTCGCTTATGTAAATTTGTCTAAAAATTGCACGAAAACATTCCTTCTACTTTCAGGCTGATTGTACTTTCTCTCCTTTTTGATACTTGATGTTGTACATTCGCAATTGTATTTTCTAATTCAAAAAGTAACACTGATCGAGTATCTATAAGACTGAATTGCTACGCAAACATTTCGTAACATGTTATAGCTGACATGTGTACGCACAAGTGAAAGATTAGATATCAATGTATGCTGCTCTATCTCCTACACATGATCGTTATAGTATCTTTGTGGGCATGCCGTGGTCCTCTATTTTTCTGTACTCTTTTCTAATTTTATTCAATTTCTTATTTTGAAGACATGATTAGGCAAAAAAAAAATAGGGAAATGAACATAGTTCTACTATGGTCTTTTCGGTATACTGTACCCTCCTTAACTATCAAGGATACTTTATTTGGAAATTTTTTTTACAATTGAGCGTTTTTACTGAAAAATAATTGCAGAAGAAAATATTTTACGGGTGTTTTTATCCGTGATCAGCATCAGCCCTTCGAACTGATATACAATCTATATCAAGAGAAAGCTCTACTAAAACTAAAGTAAAATAGTCTACAAATTATTGCCTATTATCTGAGTAAATATTATGTGGATCGTCAAATATCTTATTTGCGCTCTTTCAAGCAGTAAAGTGCAAGTATTCTTTGAAGAAAATTGTTCCTGCCTTATAGTTAGAGTCTGACAAGATGGCCCTATTGTGCCCCACAGGATTTCTTTACCAGGTAGGTTCAGACAGTTGAGTCACACATAGCTTTTTTCTTAGTGAAATACTACATCGAATGCTATTATTTCTCTTCAAAAATATAGTAGAATACAATGGAATGACTGCGAAAACACGTTTACTGCAGTCAATCAATTTTTTCCAAATAACCAAAAAACTGCTCATCGAGAACACTATAAAGTCCGTTTTATTTGTCTTTCGATCAAATGTGAAACGGGACCGAAGGAGAAGAGGGGAAAATTTTCTATTTTTTCCTTTTTTATTCTCGCTATTTCTTTCGTAAATGACGACCTTAAATCGTTCACTTTACCTTGACGCAGTAGGCCAAAGTAAAAATCTAAAACTCATGGGATTTATTTATCACGCCTTAACTTCAACCGTATTTACAAAATGTTATGGGAAAGAAAATTTCTCATGACATCGCCCTCTATACATACTGTCCAAAAAAATTATTGAGGTTTTTTTTGTAATCATTTATCACACAATAGGTATTACTGTATATGTTTCAATTCAAATAAAATCAGCAGGAGTTGCTCGTGATATCTTTTTGAGAAAATTTATTTTCATACATTGAATAAACGTTTTTCTTCTTCTATAAGACTGTAATTACACTCTCTATTGAGTAGTTGTCAACAAAAATTTAAAAATATGTCAATATAAAATATAGACACTTTATAAAAAGAAGAAAAACAATGGCTGATATATCAACAATAGAAGAAATGATGGTAGAAATGGTGATTATCTTTTATTAGCAATAGTCAATTGATTGGAAACGAGTCTTTTAGCTAAATCGAAACAAAAAACCCAAAAATTAATTTTTTGAGAGGATAGTTCGAAGAGAAAGAAAATTTATGTCTTCTTATATTCTTGTTCTATCTATGTTAGTAATTTGTTTAGTTCACTCTCGCGTTAGTAAAAAGTTTTGTGAGATCATCCAAAAATATAAACACTATATAAGAAAAGATCAAAGTTTAACCTTATAATCGAACACATTTGGTGCGATAAATTCTACGCACCTGAATATAAGTAAAAATTTTCTGACGATGATCACAAGAGATTGTCTTCATTTATGAGAAGAAACTTTATCATCAAACAATTTTACCGCGTACACCTTATTTTTATTTGAAATGCGACAAAACAGCATGATCATGTATATATTTGAGAAAAAAGAATAAGAAAGAATGAAAACTTATCTATTTAACATATCTCTATTAGCCATTATCAATAGTAGAATAAGTTAATCAGCTTATATCAAATTATTTCTTATTTTCTTAGTAGTTAGTCGAGTAAATGTACAATAATTGTGACAAGAGGAAGTACTGCTGACGATTTCAATCATATCGAACATATACAGAGATTAGAAACAGAGACGCGCACACACACATCACATACATTTATTGTAGTCATCATTATTAGTAACAGTGCTGTTTTTGTGATGAAAACATTGAATTTTTGTCAATTTATATCTATTAACTTCGATCATATGTCATCAGTTTGAATGCATGATATGCTGTTGTGAAAACAATTCCAATCAAAATAAATACCATATGAATGACTATGTTGAACGAAATTTCTTTAAATTAAAGCCTAGACAAACTGGGTAGGAAAGATATTGATCTAACTTTCTCTGTCTGATATGTCAACATTTGATATTGATCTAACTTGGTATCTTGGTATCTTTAAACAAAAGATGATATAATAAGAATAATATCACTTTCGGTGAAAGTGATCCACAGAACAACCGTTCACAAACTGGAAAGATTAGATAATAAGTAGGGCAAAAGTAGAACAATAATCAGTCTATCTGTCTAGAGAACGTAATATAAAAGTCGACTTTTTCCATGGATTTTTAGTCATTTTGTCAAAATTCATCATTTGTTAACAGAAAAAAAAGCTCTTTTTTTTCCCAACAATTACAGATGGGTGAAATATAATTACAACGTTTATTAAAAAGAAATTTTGTCGCCTGTCATTTAATGGAGAGGAGGTTAGTTAAAAGCTGATAATTAACACTTTTATATGTATAGTTCAATAAGAAACGAAACATATTTTCCAAAAGCCGGAAATAGTGGAAAATAATGTGCTGTCGAATGTATACTAAATTACAATGGTACACACATCATCATAGTAGAGAAAGAGAATAACAATTACCGACGTCTTTTTGAGGGACATGATAAGTCGTTATAAAAACCTTCTGTCTTATATTCTCCAACGTTTTGGTAGAAAAGGATCCGTCCACATATCAGAGAGAGACAAACTCACCTTCTAAATCATATCCATTTTTGGGATATAGAGAAGAAAAAAATTATCTATTTATTTAAAAAGTTATCTATTTTTAAATAAACAACTGATCTGTACACAGATGGATGGATAGAATAAATCACATAGTCGTTCTCACTAAACATTATAATAGTTACAATGTACTTAAGTTATTCTTGATTTTGATTTGTTACATCAACGATCCATATTGTCTATCGTTTTGAATTTCCAGTAGCTATGTTGGTGATACAGGTGCTTTGTTGTACAAGATCAATGAAGCTCTTTCTTCTTGGATAGAATATATAAAAGTTTTTTTTTTACAGAAGCAGTCATTACACGTATCTTTACTTTTTGTTTCACCAATTATTTTGTACATTTCCGATTAACTTAACTCATGCCGTGAAGCTTTTAGCATAATTAGCTTTGAATAAGATAAAATTGAATGAAATTGTTCAGTTATGTATATGAAGAGAGAAAGAGAACAGAACAGTGTATAACTGTAAAAACATAATGTCAAAAATTTATCTTTGAAGGTGATGAAATGACTATTTCTCATGTGGTGGCTTACAAATACAATGTTTATAAAAGTATAATCTCACCTGAATGAGTGAACAATAATAAAGAAAAAGAGTAAAAAATATGATATTGTGTGAATATATGTATGATATTCAAGATTGAATAATGCCAGACTAACGTTTCTTCCTAATAATTGCTGTTGTCTCAAAACTCACTCTTGCATATTAAGAACATTATCATACGTTTAATAGTATATAAACGAAATATTTTGATCTATTTGTCTAACTTCCTCCCAGTATAAAGAGTATAGGTTTAACAATGAGAAAACAATGATTAGCAGAGAATATTACTCAATACTAATTTTTTTTGAATAGAAGTTGTAATCTTATTAGTTTCATACGTCAGCGAAAAACAATTCTAATATTTCGTCAAGTTATATTTATATGACAACAAAGTTTTATTGTTTGTAAGACAAGAGTAGTTGCTGAACAACATGTCAGTTAGAAAGTTAAGTTTATCTTCGTGTTTATATCATTTGTTTTTCTATACAATTCGGCAAGCTTTTACTTTATTTGAACAATCCTTGAACTAATTTAAGAACTATTCATTGTAATCTAAAATGGTTGACTATTTGTCGATGACACTTTTTCTGAACTCAAAAAATCATTGTAGTTTTGTTTATATCATACATTAAAGACTAAAATAAAATACAGGAATATTATTTAAAAATTAACAAATTGAGCTTTTATTAAATCGGAAAAAATACAAATATTCAAAAATTTTATTTTATTTTTTTGTATGTTCACAACATTTGCTTATAAAACTGAGAAGATGAAAAGAAAAAAAAAAAAATCTTCCGTCTTTTCTCACTGTCATAACCCAAAATAATTTTAATGTGCCGTTGTACTACCCATGTAAAGCATACTCGGTGGTGGCCACGGTACTGACATTTGATGAAATGGATATGAATTATTATTCATCATTGAATTTAGTTTTACACCTGGTATGTTGTTACTGCTCGTTGCGATTGGTTTCATATTAGCATAATATTGATGATTATTTGTTAGTTCTATTATATTATTACTGTTAATATTAGTACATGTAGGTTTTAAACGAGATTGAAGAAGATAGGTTTGCTGTTGCTGATGAGGATCAATTTCATCTGAATTACTAGTATTTGAATGTGATCGAGGAGTAATAAATTTGTTTTGTGTTGACGATGTTGCTGATGGTTGTGGACTGATGGTTAGTGAACATTCTTGTTTTACTAAAAACATAGAATTATCATGTTTTTCATACTTATTTGATGAAATTTTATTTTGTGCTGATAAAATTGATGATGAGGAGGAGGAATTATGATGACTAACATTTTTAAATAATTTCTTGTGTTTCGATCGTTTATTTTGAAACCATATTTTCACCTAAAAAGAAGTACAGTTAATGAATTATCTCTTCAATAACTAAATCGAGATAAAATTAATTATTGTTACAGCTATACTTTTTACCAAATTTTATCCGGCTTAAACTAAGCAGTTAAACAAATAATTCATTATTTAAAGAGATGCTGCGATCGTTAGATTTTCGAGTGTGAGCTAATGGATCCTAAAATCGTCGGAGATCCTTCCGCTTTCTTTTTTTTTGCTGAAAAACAGCAAAAAAAATTCAAATTATTGGTGGAAGCCACTCTGAGAAGATTTCATTGGCCACGATACTTCTGATTATCTAACGGGAAAAGTACTATTATAGTTCAGTTGAAATTCAATTACTTTTAGACAGATATAAGAAGTTAATGTTATTGTAGTAAAACAAAGCTGAAGAATAGATATCACACTTTATCATCGGATAATGGGTGGCCCATAATGAACTAACAACTTTGCACTTTAGCTATAACTTTTTACTCTGACATTCTTAAGACCCAAATTTTTCAACAAACTATTCTCCACAAAATGTAACTGTAAAGAATTACACCGAAAATACTGAGAAGCTCTAAAATGATTAGATTATACAAGAGATTTGTTCCCGTTTTTGCGCTTGTCAAAATTCATCATTTTTGGACAACAGTTTCACTCTAAGACAGTTGTTTTAGAGCTTCTTAGTACTTTTGGCATATATTTCCATTTTGTAGAGAATGTCAAAGCAAATCTTTTGCCCAAAAAAAGTGGCGCTAGGGCGAGAGAACAAAATGTACGATTATGAATTTATTATAGGCCATCTGTTAGAGAAACCAGCATTCACAAAAAGCTTTAATATTCTACTAGACTAAATAGGTCAATATACATACTTGTGTTTGTGTCAGACCCAAAGAAGCAGCCAATTCTGCTCGCTCAGGCAATGCTAAATATTGTGTTCGCTGAAATCGTTTATTTAACACTTGCAATTGCATACTGGAATATATTGTTCGTGGTTTTCGAATTTTTTTTCCTTTTGCTGTTAATTTTGGTCCATGCTCATCAAATCGACATTTATCGTCTAAAATAGAAGAGTAACAAATATTGACTACGTCCGTTATTTGTTTCTTAAGACATACGTACCACTATCAAGATTCAATGAAGCATAGGGCAATGTTGACATTGAATAGGGATGTGATGATGCATATGGATTTGTTACTGATGAAAACGGATAGACTGAAAATGGGCGTGTTTGTGACATTGTATTATAAAATGTATCCGTACTATGATGATGTCCATCACCATTTGAAGGTCCATCCGAATGATAAAGACTTGTTCGATGTGTAAATGTTGAATAATGAGACGCCGACGCTGATGATAATGATTCATTTGTAGATGTAGCAGATGATAAGGGAATTGCTGTTATATTATTAGATGTACCAGTTGTGGCAAAATTGAGAAACGCACTCGTCTTATTATCATGCTCAAATGTTCCCGTTAAATTTTCATTAGTTGTCGTTGTTGTTGAACAAGAATTATGTATCATTATTATTTCTATTATATTTTTTTATTCTTCCGTTTTGTTGTACCCGTCTATTATTTTTAATTTGATTTTATAATTTTTGGAATTTCTAATGAAATAGTATTCGTGAAATAAATAGTAACAATTTAGGAAAGAAACGATTGTGATAATTTTATAATAAATGATGACGAATGATCATATGTATGTATAGTATGTATAATGATAATGACAGTCAAGATTACACTCGTGTATGTATGTGTGTATGTTAGAGAAAAAGAAAGAGAAATATGAATAGAATTAGTGAACTTAGTGTAAAGAAATAGCGTAATTTTTTAACTTTGTCGAAAAACTAATAATTACTCTCGAATAAAAAAAGAAAGAATAGTAATAATAATTATCAAGCAAGAAAAGAAAAATGAAAACTTATAAATAATTTAAACTTTTTTCTTCTGTTTCTCTTAAAGACGAATAGTATATATTTGAAACAAAATTACTACTATTATCTTGATATACAGTTTGTATGTATCGAAAAAATACATATAGTTTTTCATTCGATGAATTCTTCTCTTCTCGAACTCTTATTGGTCTATCACATGAAATGAGAAGAAGTATCGAATAGTATTGTTCTGAGAGAAAGAAATAGAAGATTTCTCTATTCAACAGTAATTTTTGCATAGAACAAATTTTTAACTACGAATGATTTAAATTAGTGTCATCGACCAATCGAAAGTAAAATTTTTTCTTATGTCAAAAATTAAAAATACTTAAGTAGTTGAGGTTAGATACTTACTATGTTTATGTTAAGTAAGTGATTAAGATAATGTTAAAATGAAGTCATACTTTCTTTGTCAATAGAAATTATATCTATAAACACAATTTAGAATGTGGACATATTATTCTTTTATATGTCAGTTGTAGTCAATATATATTTCATCTTAACGGTTCAGATATGATATGTTAAATGACGATATCGATTATTAAACAAGCTCTCATTCGCCGACACTTGTTTCATTTCGTCTTAAGGATTTTATAATATGACCAATAGAAATATTATTAAAGGCTCTGCTCTATAGTCGATGTATTTAAGATTGTCCTTCGACCTTTACTACTATTTTGAAATCTACTGATCCCTATCCAAAAATATGAAAGTTACGATATTCTGGGAGCCCATTTCTGTATATTTATCTGGAGCCATTTGAAACAGTCCCAATTCAAACTACTCTACCCTTCTCCTGGAGAAGGGTAGAGCATAAGGAGAAATTCTCCTTATACTAACATTGTTGTATTTCCAGTAAAAATCAAGAACACGTTGGTGCAGATATACGAATTGATACACTTCGTGAAGGTTTAAAAATTTTAGGTTCTTCGAACCGTTAACATTCGAATAGTGTTTAATCACATAAAAATATTTTTCAATCAGAAATACTATTCACATGCATAGTATTTTCACAATGTTTTAAAAGAGTAGTTACTATTGAATCTATACATCTATATTCTAAAAGCGTAAAGCATGTTTGTTTGTTCTTTTCCTTTTATTCCATATAATTATGTGAATAAAACGGATGCAAAATCAACAGTCCTGTCGAAATTACAGTAATTAGCTAAAACACACACACAGTTAGTTTGCCTCTTTCTTTCACTAAATGCTGGCAAGAAAAAAATCTGCATTGATCTTGGTTGAAAGAACACACGAAAACAGTTAAGAAGTTACATGTATGAAAATCTTGATTTATTGAAATCTAAATACTCAACAGTTTCATCAGACAAAATCTATCATCGTTAAGGTTGAAGATTTATTTTTCACTCATTTTTCGTAGAAAGTGAATTTTTAAGTCTTGTTTTACCATTGCTCAATTCATCTCATTTTTCTTGCTTGTCGAAAACACGAGCGAACATTCCATCCACCGATAAAGGTAGTTTTACGTGTGTTCCCACTTTTTCGATCTTTTTCAATAGCCATCACAACTTTAATGTCCTTTAAATAGGGGGCTAGCCTAGAAATAAGACGGGTTGGCTACCGGCAGCCCAGGAGCGCCTCTCGCTACCGCAAACGGTAACCGGATCCTGTAAATACTTCGAAAAACACCCTCGGCAGACTCTAAACCCGTACATTCGAATATTCAAAAAGTTGTACGTGAATATAAGGAGCTAGCAAATCGGCGACGAGCTGAAGAGCTGGCTCGAAGTAGTCAAGTTAATACAATTAGCGCTGTAACTAGTCAAACTCCACCAATGTCGACCGGAATGGTCACAAGTATCTGTCCCAATTGTGGTCAGGTGGGTAAAAATTCATCGACGAATTTGTGATAAAAAAAGTAGTTAAACGAACTCCAGTGTGTCAACGATTGGTGTAAGAGATATGGGATTAGGGTGAATTAAATGAAAATATTCATGAATTACCGAAAATGCTGAACTACTGTGATTTGATAAAATGACGGGTACCTCCAAAATCAGATCCATGTGTTGTGTGGAGATGGCACTCTGATGACACACCGAGTGAACATGAAAAATTCGATAAAACTTTTGCGTTCTCCTGAACACAACCAAATTCAAGATTTTAGCAGCCCTTTTTTTTCTTTTTTTTTCACATTTTTCCTGATTTTCACCCTACACCGGTTTTCGGTATGGGTATCTTCTTCTCATTCTTCTTCTTGAAGTGCATTAGATCTGATAAGACAACAATATTTCCTACTAGTAGTATTTTCTACTTTGGTTAATCATGTGCCAAAGCAAATTCGAAAGTCTATTTTGTTTCTTGCCTCTACTTCAGAATGTGCATGTGTCAAGTATAGAAGTTATAATTACAAGAACTAAAATCTATCGTGTATCTGAAGTTATCGAATTAAATAATCTGAGTAATAAACTAAGTTAATTGAATAAACTCCATTTGACGCCCACAAAAGCTGTGGTTAATAGCACCTCACGACTAAGTAGCACAAAATTTTTTTTTATTTCATTGAAATAGTAAACAAAACAACAACAACAACAACAACAGAAAGACAGACATAGGCGTCTATGTACGAAAAAACGAACAAAGAAAATGTAAAAAAACATGTTATACAACTAAATCTTTCTTGAACTTTTTATTGTTAGCACCCGCACCTCCACCACCAAAATCGGATTGTCGTTTTTTCGGTAAATTTGCTGCTAAATCTTGATTGAATTGATTTTTATCACTAGAAAACAATGAATATTCTCTATAGATGTTCTGCCAACTACTTGTCATCATCAGTATCCCATATAAGTCACTTGCTATCAGTATTTTCTTTATTTAAGTACTCAGTGGTATATAGTACATACCCTTTTTGTTGATATTTTTCAAATTTAGCTTGCATTTTTCCAGTGCCAGAAATTCGTTTATTCTACAAAACAAGTACAAGATTATTTTATAACACTACACTTTCCTCATAACATACCGAATTTTGTTCAAGATTAGCAAATTTTCTTTCAAGATCTGCTCGTTGTTGTATACCCATTGTTGCTTTTGTATCGTCACCTAATGCGTCAACTCGTATGGCTAAAGCTGCTTTTGCAGCTAACATGCGTGAAACCTTGTAAAGAAAGATCATAGATATACAGCATGTGATTACTCATAAAATTATAATACAATTGATACATACTTTTCCTTTTAATTTAGCTGTTGTTTGTCCAACAAGTGATGCATGATAGATCAGACCATATTTCGGTGTATCGTGTTTAGTTTTCATTGCACGAAATAAAGCTTTTTCAGCGCCCAATATTTGAACGGTTGAAGATGGATGTTTTGCTAAGTTGAGCAAGGAACCTAAGAAAAGATACAAAAAGCCATAGTTAAGAAAAATACAGACATACTTTTGCGAACATGACTAACCAGCGTGTGCAATAAGTCTCGCTCCAACAAGTTCACCAACAAGAACAGTTAAGTTTGGAGCAACAGCCATCATTCGATTTTTTAAATATTCAAACAACTGAGCACGATAATCTGATATTTCGATAACCTGAAGATTGAAAGAATGATATTCTGAGTTATTACTTGATAGTTAAACTTTTTTTATGAACAAACACTGTTCTTGCGTTCGTTACAGTAGTCTCAGTGGTAGTGACGAAAAGATTTTAATATCATAGAGCATCATTTTCTGTTTTTTGTATCATCATTGACTACGTTGAAACAACAAGTTTTGTATGAGAAGATAGAGAAATAGATCATTTGATGTGAAAGCCTGATCCTTCTCGTTATTCTACAATTGTAAAAATTGCGATGTATCATTTTAGGTTCTTTTCATCCTTCTGCCTGTGACAGTCCATGTCGTCAAAATCGAAAAGAATTGGTGGATTCACCGCAATTTAGTCAGCTGATTTATGGTGCACTCCATAGTAAGTTTTAAGCAGAATTTTGTGCTGATTAATCGCAATTTTGAGAAAAAATCATCGATTAAGTGTGACCGTCAATTGTTCCAAAAATGCACGATTTCAGCAAAATCGCGCTTAATCGAAATGTGTCGATGATTTTTTCTCAAAATTGCAATTAATCAGCACAAAATTCTGCTTAAAACTTACTATGGAGTGCACGATAAACCAGCTGACTAATTGCGATTAACCCACCAATTCTTTTCGATTTTGACGACATGGAATGATACTGTCAGTCGTACGTGTGGCCACACCAAAAGAGTTTTAGCAATAAAAAAGGAATCAATAATCTCAGACATAAACCAATCAACAGTTATTCAGACTGGGGCGGCATCATAAATGCATCATCGATTATTGATTCATCTTATCATTCTAGTTAAAAGTTGTTCTCTCAGATAGGTTCGAACACACCATCTTCAAATTACGCGTCCAAGCTATTAACCTGTTTGACTATAATTATGATAGCTTTTCTTACTTGCGCACAAAGATGACGAATATTTGTAATATCTTCTTCAGATATTTCTGTACCCATCGATATTTCCGCTGCCTCTTTCACTTGTGTCTCAACATCTGCTGGTAAAATATCTGACAGATCAAGTTGTGCGGCATGCGTACGATAACCTAAAAAACACAATCGTTGAACTTGCTTAAGTATGTTGCGTTTAAAAATTGTTAGCAAAATTTTACCAATTAATTGGACAATTTTACAAAATGCAACGTTATCTTGTATGATCTTCGCTAATTCTGGAAAATGCCATCCATACCATTCTTTACATCTCATTATATAATTATTTGTTTCTTTATCAAGATCGTCCAACAGAGCTTTATAATAGATAGGACAAAAAGCGTTATTATTTGAACAAATATTTAGTTAATTGTGTAACTTACATATGGCTTGTACAATCATTGTATCAACTTTGTCTGGTGAAAATTTTAATTTATAACGTGATAAGCTAAGGACGTAAAGAAACTATTTCAAAATCATATGGTCAGTAGTAAAATTTTACATAATTCACACATTTCAGAAGTGGAAATAAGTTCAAGAAAAAACTAAAAAAGTTTTCTTTAATCGCTTCCTATTTTTCATGCATAAACTCATTTTGTTGTTCTTCATGTATCTAAAAAGAGAGAAATTCTATTTAACATACAGAGGACTAGCGTTCCCAGATGTATAAACGTTCTCTACTCACATTTTTCGTGAATTGTAGCAAATATTTCCGTGTTTGTTATACTTTTGATTGAATTGAATGTATAATTAAAAAATCTGAAAATAAATTAATTTTATGAGTTACGCTCGGTTGTAAGCATGGAAATTGATATCAATAGACAGTGATGTTTGGTTTAATGCCAAGTAAAGCTAAGTTGGAAAAAACTATTCTTATTTTAAACTTTTGTGTCCTGTGTTTAAGGATGAACGCAGTAATCTAGCAGTAACTCTCAACGTATATCAACGCTATAAGATTAGAGCGTAGTATTGCTCAATAAAAAAAGCATAACCAAACATCAATGTGTATTAAAATTTGAAATGAAAATACGACATAATAATAAATTCAAACAACAATAACCTTATTAATAATTTTTAATTTCTTTGTACACGAAAGTTATATCGCCGTGTGTTTTTTTTATATAATTTAAACAATTGCACAGACGCGAAGAAGAAAACAAATGTGAATTAGGAAAGACGCAAAAGAGTATAAGCAAACAAATTGATTTTGATATCGCGGCATATTTGAAATATAAATAATAAAATATATATGTATAACGAACTAATGTTCAACGAAAATTATGAAGCGATTAAAGAAAACTTGAACGTTTTCTGTGAACTATTTTCTAAAATGGAGCTACAGCGCAGCATAAACATGAGTAGTGGATTCCAGCTTTAAGAGAAGTAAAGAGGTGATTTTCTATTATCTGAACATGTGCTTGATACTATATCTTGTTGTGTTACCTATGAGCTAGACCGATGCGCATAGCTGCTAATTCTTTTTCATCTACTTCAATCAAACTATCCACTTGTGAACGTATTACACGCATCAAATCTTGAACAGAATTATTACATATACATTCAAGACTGAATTTATCCTATAAATAATAAACAAAAACATTTTATGCTTTACGGACTCACTGCATCATTAATACTGAAAAGTCATTAGGAATCAAAAGTACAGAATTACTCAAAAACGTTTACCCTACATTTTATTACGCGACAGAGACAGTATAAATATAAATTTAAAAAATGTTTTCTCGACCAGTGCTCGCGCCTGCGGATAGATTCTGTATCTCTGTTCAAAATGTAAAACCAGTATTTTTGATAATAGAACAGAAGAGTATAAACTCAACAGAATTTTGGAAATAGAAACTGTCGTACCAAGTTCTCTTCTTTTTTTTTTCTTGTTTAATTCTGGATTTTCCTACCTTAATTGCTTTGCCTAACGTAGAATCAGCTACCAACAATTGTTCTTGTAATTCGGGATCAACTAAACGTTTTAACAATTTTTTCAATGGCTTTGAAATCTTGCCTTCAACAGTTGCAGTTGCAGCTGCTAATGCTGTTGTTGTATCGTCAAATTTTTCAAAATGTTTCAACTTTAGCCTGGAATAAAACAAAACAAAATTCATTACAATAGTCAAGAAAACAGCGTAACTAGTTCTGATATTTGAAGAGTAACTTACACTTTAGCAGCTTTTTCTGGAGACTCAAAATCCAGATATAAATTTTTCGCTTCATGTAATTTCTTTTCATCTAACAGCTATAAATCCAAAGAAATACACTTGTTGGCTTCGTTCCAGATGATATGTACTAACAAACTTACTTTGAATACGGCATAGCCGGCTGAGGTCTCAAATAAAACTAGCATGATCTGAAAGATAGTAAATGGCAATATAGAAAACAAATTAGGTCAGTCAAAATACAAATGCAGGGCATGTTTTCCAGTATCTCTAACGACAAGGTAAGCCGAAATTTTGAAAATTAAATATGTTGTTAGTTTTCAGCATGAAAATTACAGTGGTAAACTGCGGAGACGCAATTTGCACGAAATTCTTATTAAAAACAATGGTGCACAGCAAATAGAAAAATCAATATAAAAGCGCTTGAAAAAATTTGCAAGGCTTTGTAAGAAACTGACTGTTTCCCTATATCCCTGGCTAACTGAAGAGTAAGGCATGAACAAACAAAAACAACAAATGATACCATGTGATATAAGATAAAGAAACAAAATTCGACATCGAAGACATCTCTTCGATGTTGAATAGTCCAAAACTTTTCCATATTATCCAATAATAACACTGCATTCTAGACTTTCTGGAAAGTTTTCGTTCTGAGGATACTATGTATCTCTTAAAAAGATTAGTGTTCGAGATAGGCAGTCACTATCGTATTTAAAAACTACAAAAAAGAAATTTATATACTCTTTCCTTTACATTAATATTTATACGTAGCAGATGGCGCCGTTGGACACAGCATATAGATCGAAGAACGTGTTCTTATGGTGGGCAATGTTTATAGGATACATTGTTCGACCTTCGCTGAACAAAGATTTTCTAAAGCAATGAAAGAGAATTCGGATGGTAATATGAGCTGATTTTAAAATTTACAAAAGATGAGTTATATAAAATGTAAAGTTTAATAAGCAAACAAACAATGGAATATTTATTATTTGGTTTTGATTTGTCATAATTGCATCTGAAAAACCTAGTTGCTTAACATAAGGTGCATATAATACGCTACAGCACGATCTGTACGAACACTTCAAGCATTTAAATAATAATGGACGCGATATTAAAGACTAAAAGTGGAACGATGCGCTGAACAGCTGTCGCGGAGTCGGAAACAAATACCTCAATGTGTCTCATCATGCGTATTTCTGATCGATTCTGTTAATTAACGTTTGAAGTATATGAACTCACTACATGAGAACGAATGTCTGTAGACAGATCAATGCTATTTAGAAAAAGTGCACAACTGTTACAACAAAAATCACCAGTATATCATATAGTAGTATTCAGCGGCTTTGTTCAAATCCAGCTAAACGATATAATCTGCTTGTTCCCCTCCATCATGTGGTTTTTATTGTATACTTTGTACTTTCTTCAATTAACTTGGTTTTTTTACAACTGAAAAACGTTCTTATAAAAAATATTTTTCAATGTTTAAGGGAGAGACCATAGCGTGAAACAAGAAATAAAAATGCACAAAAAAAAACAGAACTGAATAATTCGCTATTACATATGCATCGCCAGTATGCAAATTCATAATCAATTCTTAACAACCACAAATAAATTTAACTTCGAAAAAAAAAATCAATGACTGAAGTAACGAATAACCATCACAAACATCTTGGTACAACAAGTAAGAAAGATATGTACACAAGAGAAAAAACGTGTGATACTGAGAACACAGAAGAAAAAGATAAGGAAAATTGACATGTAAAAAAAGTCTGGTATAACATTCAAACGAAATGCAAGTAACTCCATGCTTGCGATAATAACCATATGTACATCGAAAAGAGACGAGACGATAAAGAGATCGAGCGAGATTCTGAAGAATAATTGTATTGTCGTAATAATATTCCAACTTATCATTCTCTTTTTATAATTTTGATTGTTTTGTAGTAGGTATCCTAAAATATTTAAATAGAATATGAATTACGGTATTCGCCATTATTGATGGCGGGTGGTAAGTGGCTTACATATCTAAAAGATAATTAGTCAGTGCGGGATTTTGTCTCATCGATGCTAAACCAGGTATCTGAGCTAAAGTCGATGGTGATATGTTTCCACCAGCAAACGGTAGCATGTTCGATAAAAAATGTTTTTGAAACATTTTTAATTGTTCAGCAGAAACATTCGTCGTATTCAGAGCCGCTGCTAGTGCAGCTGTTGTAGCAGCTGAAGCGGCGGATGACGATAATTTTGTTGCTTGTGTTAAAGAATAAGTCGATGGCGAAGATGCATTATTTCGTAGACTTGAGGATGACGACGATGCTTTTAATTGTGATGTAGACGATGGTGTATTTGATTTTGTACTTAAAAAACTATGATGTTGATTAGTTTTTGTAGAATGTTGCTGTTGTTTCGCTGATGATGGTTTCGATAGATGATTGTTATGTTTATGATCTGACAATTGTGCTGTAGGCAGAGTTGTCGATGTATTTGAAACCGAAGATGATGATGATGATGATGATGATAACAAGGTAGTTGTCGTATTTTGAAATTTAGCTTCAAGATCTTTTTCTTGCTGTAAAGCTTTGATAAACGCTTGCCGCAAACGATTCGAATGATCTTGCTTCAATAATTTCTTCTGATTTGTTTTCATACAGCGGTCACATAATACATTATTATTCATCGTATCGTCGTCTTGCTGATTACGCTCATCTGTATGCCACGTTACGGACCAATCTGTATTACACTGAGAACACATAAATGGTGAAGAAGTTTTTGTTGTTGTTAAACTATCTCCGGACAACGATTGTTGCAGTAATGGACGACGAAATAGACTATCATTATACGACTGAAGTGCTTGTTCAACACCGATCATAGCAAGAAACTCCGACCAACCATTGATTCCAGGAATGAAGCTTAAATCACTCGTTGATGGTTTTGGTGTAGGAATTTGTAATAATGTTTGTTCTAGTTGTTTTCGCAATGCTAGTTTTGCATTTAACAAATGTTGCTCAGCTGAAGTCGAACCTATGGGTAAATAACAACATTCATTGTCAATCTGATTCTTAATAAGCGCACTGTTAACTTGTCTTATTTCTAATGATACGAAGGGACATCAATCGATGATAAAACGGAAAAAACACTTACTTTTTTGATTTGATACTAAAGAATTTTTTGAAAACCCTTGAGAAGTATTATTTGACACTTGTGACGGCATCGTTGATGAGATGCGAGTTGCTTGTTGTGGCATTGAAGAAGAAGATTTTTGTTGATGATTTGAACGGTTCACTGTGTACTGATTTGGATGCGGAGACTTGCTCGGTGGTTGCACAGAAGGACGATTATGTGGCTAAAACGGATAAGACATTGTGGTTTATACTGTATACCATCAAAAGGGATAATCTCATATATAAAGTTATTTTCCGAAAAATTTCTTTGATCTTAGAATCTTTTTTTCACGAAAATTAATATTGCTTCCTCTGCATAGAATCGGCGAGGTTTTTAGAACTGGAGTTTTCAAAAATTTTACTGATGCTATAAGGATGTTTTAGTATTTAAAAATGTCTGTTAAATTCTAGTTCGACTAGGATGGGACACTGGAAGAAACTATAATATTTGAACTCTTTTTAAACCTGTTGTTGTGGTGGTGGTGGTAGTTTGCTGGGACCTAGTTGTTTACTGAATGATTGTTCATTATTTGGTTTTGTTGTGGATGGCTGAGTTGATGAAAACGGCTTCGTGTGTTGTAGTTGTTGTTGTTGTTGTGATGTAGACTGCTTAGTAATTGAATTTGAACTGGTGTTATTAGTAATTGGACGTTTCACATGTTGCGAATTCAACGACGATGGAGGCGTATTACTATTTGTTGTTCGTTTTTGAAGGTGAATATGTTCACCGTTAACGACCTTTTGATTTGTTTTTAATTTTTGCATGAGCGTTAGCATTGCTTCATGATATTGTAATTCTTTTTGTATTTGTCTCAATTCTAAATGTTTTTTTGTTAATAAGGATTGCTTTGATTTCGTTGTCAAATCAGTTGTTAAAGATGCTGCTAATGAGATTTTGTCATCAATACCCGAGTTGTTGCTACCGTTAATTAGCGATGAAGATATTGCAGTAGTAGCAGCATTGTTGAAAGAAAGTGGTTCTTGTTTTGTTGCTGTTGGTTCAATTTTGATTGGTGTAGAATTTGATAATGGTCGATTTTTTGATTTTTGTTCTTGTTCATGTTCTTTCATATTTTCTAATATTGTTATTGTTGATGGTGTTGGTGTATTTCTAATAAACGTAGCAAAACTAATTGTATCTACATGTATTTTTGTTGATGATGTACAATCATAGAGCAAAGAAATGTATGGTGTTCAGACTATAATTTCATTATAGTTGAACTAGAATAGAGGTTTTCTTTTTTATTATTGTTGTTGCAATCATCATGGTATATACATAGAAGATACAACACAACAATAATAAATAGAGAGAGAAAGAGAGAAAGGTAAGGGAATGGAATACCGCATGAACGTTGTCGTGGTAATCTCTTCTCTCCGTCCCATGTACGTAATATCTCTCTATCACACATGTATATATACATACTATACCGGCACAAAGACGAAGGAAAAGAATAGGAAAAAAAAGAAGATAAAATAAAATTTTTTTGGATGAACGTTTCAGTGATTGTGTGCGTGTTTGTGACGATGTTTAAGAGAATAGAAGGACTACTATAAATTGATTATTAGACTACCAATATATATCAACACGTTAAGTCAACAAGAACTTACCCAGAACAAAATCGTTTTGAATATCTTTCACGATTATTTTCATCGGTGTACGAAGAGGATGAAGATAATCGTTTAGTCAGCATCATCATTTTCGTAGGAGAATCATACTCTTTTTTAATAATTAGAAGAAAAACTATTCGACGAATATAAAAATGAAATCTAAAAAATATAATAATTAATTAATTTCCCAGAAAATAGAACAGCTTTTTCAAACGTGAAAAACTAAAATAAATTGAATGCAAGGATGCAAATTGGAGATAGCTTCATTTTAAAGGACGTTATTATTACTCTACTAACTTGTAAAAATGTTTCTTTTCAAAATAACGACAGGATAGAAAAAGATCTTCGACACAACGTATACTATAATAGTGAAAGAAATCACTAAGTTGAGGCTACTAAAAGCTATAGATTCTAGAAACGTTAAATATAGAATGTTCGGTGAAAGAGATCTACCAAGATATAACAGTACAAATTAAGAAAAAGCAAGTGATGTATTTTTCACACAAAGTTTTTCAAACTTTTTAGGAAACTTGTGGTATTTGACATTAAGAAGTAAATCAAAGAAAAATCTGACGCTCAATCGTATTCAAGAAATTTTGCAACACAAGACTATACAAAAAATTTAACAGAACAGATTCATATTTAACCGCATATAGTGACTCATCTAATCGTATCCAGTCAATGTGTTGGGCTCTGAATAAAAATAACTTCGAACTAATCTCAAACGAAAACAGAATTGAACAAAAGTTCATTCTGTTCATGCTCAGTTTGTGCTGATTATAAAAGTTGATCTAACTCATATATTCACAGGAGAAGCTGTAATCGAAGAAATAAGATTGATAAACTAAATATTTCTTAAAATTAGAAATATTAACGTTGAAAATCAATGATATTCGTACGAAGTGTCAGAGAACACCACTTATTTCGTTTTGATTCATAGGAGGCGTCTGAGACAAACAGATTGATGAGAATTGGAATTTGTTGAAAATATTACTATCAGATCGATTAATGATGGTTTGTTTCACTGGAAATGTCTGCAGAATAAAATATTTGCATTTTGTAGGATACTATTTTTGTAGACTAAAAACGTATAAGAAACAGCTATGGTGGCGAAAAAAAAGATTTTATCAAAAAAAACAACTAATATGAACACTTTTTCAACGTTTTTTCTAGGAAAATACAGTTGAATTTTGTAATCAGAACGAGACAGATTCTAACTATGATAAGAATCATATAAAATGATGTATAATATTATATTATATTAGTACACGTGCATAACGGAGTCGTCAACATCATTCTTTTTCTCATATTATTTAAGTATTATACTTCTTTCTTTTGTTTTTTTATTCCGATTTTTTTGTTCGTCTTTTCCTTTTTCCATGATACACAACAAATCTCTAAGTCTCTCATTATACCGACTAACAATGGCATACATGTTATAAATATGTATGTTGTTCAGATGTAATGATAAATGAACACACCTGTTTCGATCATGTAATATTATTTATAAGTACTTTGAAATGGTAAACTTACTTATGTCGTGTTGTTTTTTTTTAAATTAAAAAAGTGTCTAGTTGGTAGTGTGATGGTTTGTTGTGTAAATTATAAAAAAGAAAAAAAAAAAAGAAAAAGGAAAGTTCAATACGAAAAAGAAAATAATATATGAGATATAAGTTTGTTCATATAGATTGTGCTCATCGAAGATGAATTATTCGTTCTTACCACAAGCACATATATACAAAACAAAAAAAAAAACAAAAAAAAAAAAATAGAAACAACTATACAATTTGCCTGCGCATTCTGTTTTAACTAACCTTACACATATTCTATTTCTACACATTTCATTTTCTTTTTTTTTACAGAAATGTCATTGGGGGGTGTTTCGGTCTGACTTGTGTGCGTTATAGCGAGAGAATACACTCGTAAACAAATAAAAAAATACTTCCCGTTCTATATGGTGAAAAAATAATAATAACACAACGTTTTTCTTGAGTCGCTCTTCATCCATTTAGTAGGATGATGACAAAGAGAGAAGAGCATATAGCATTCAGCTGAATATGCACTGGACTTGCATAGGTTTGCACACATTCACGCACGTACAAGAAAATATAATGACGAAGAAAACCCAACGAAAAATGACGTTAATTATTACATATAAAAAAAGAAATCTGAAGAAAAGAGAACTTTTTTTAAAAAAAACTCTCGAAAGAACAAAAATATCTTCTGTTATTCATTTACTGAATACGTTATACTAGTAGTACAAAGCGCTAGTTTATTCATAGTTCACTATTAAACAACTAATATCACCTATCCTGTCTTAAATATTTGAGACAAACGTGTAATAAAACAGATATAAATAATAAAAACACAATAAAAAAGTTAATTACATCAAAAGATCTTAAAGTTGAAAAATAAGTCAACATTTTATTGCACAGCTCATCTGTTACTTGTATCATCAAAAAATTAGAAGTAAAAAAAAGTATACTTTTAAGAAAAAAAGATCTTTTGTTGTTATTAAAAAGTTCTCATGTAAAAATATGATGAACTTTGATGGAATTGTGCTAGTCGAAGAGGATAAGAATAAACAACAACATTCTTATTCGACTTCAATCAGAGAGACATTTAAATGATGGTGAATGTACGTAAAGATACATATATTTTCTTTTTTTTTTAAAGAACAAGATGAATAGAGAACACGAAAATGTGGAAATAATGTCACAGCCCCTTTGCTCTGGCTTTAATCTAGCCGGATACTTTAGACGGACAAAGAGAAGAAGAAAAAAAAAAGAAATATTGTACACATCATATAAGCATGGTGGTGGTTAGATATACAGGGAAAAGCGCGAGTATAAAAATAAAGACAAAGAGGGGGTGTTGTACGATGTGAAGGACAAAGGGATATTTGTTAATATACTATTGAGCACACACACACACGCACACACCAATAGAAAAGTGTTGAAGAAGAATAACAAAACACAAAATCAATTTTTGAATAAGTAAAAGAGCATATAAATAAGATCCATATACTAAACTTCAAAATATATATTTTGTTGTTGAAAAAAGGGAAAATGAGGAATTTTGTGTGATAATAAAAACGAAGGGTAATTTAACGGCATATGAAGAAAAAAAAAGAAAACAGAAAACGCTCACATATTCCCATAAAAGGTGTATTTATTATATACTACATATTTTTATCTCAAACGCCACAAAATATGAGATAGTTTGACTGTTAAAAGTTAGTGCGTGTGTGTACAAAGCAGAAATAGATAAAAACCATACAAAAACGTTAAAGCACCACAGATCTCTTTCATTCTCACACAAAACTACCTACTTATTTTCCTAAGAAAATGTCGTGTACATTTTAACATTTGAAAAATGTAAAATCAACATTCCCTCTACTGTCTATGCATAAATAAAATTTTAAAGCAAAAATTATTTATTTCACAATAAGTTTTTACCATAGGCATTTATTAACACTACACACGTGACACTAGAAGATGTACTATGTCGATGAGATCGTTTCAAAATCGTACTGCCAGAAAAAGTCGTATTGGAAAAAATGTTCATGTTCACTTACTACCCATATACATAGATGGTACGAAGAAGTATAAAAGCGATGGTGTACCACCTATATAAAGGGTCAGGATATGAAGTATGAAATTGAAAAAAGATGTTCACCGTAAAAGTAGTATGTAGACTAAAATATTCTTGATTCTGTTGGTGAAACAATAATAATTTTGTAAAAAGTAAATTTCACAACATATTGTTACTGGTAAATGATAATACGTGTGTTCTCGAGAAAATAAAGTATTCAGATTGTCTCGGAAATTTTCTTTTACAATTTTTTTTCTTCGTTTCTTCCAGGATTTTTGTGTGTTCATGGACATCATAGTTCTATTCTACTTTTCTTTTGTGTGTGCATGAATGTGAGTGACTTGTTGTGTAGCGCTCATGCATCCGAATTTAGTAAAACAATAAGGAAAAAAAAAGGAAAAAAAAGAAGAGAACTAGACCTACTTTTTACCATACATCTTTCTTTTGTATATCAAACGCATTTCTAAAGTTCTAAATCAAAATATCGAAATGAATTATGATGTGATGGAAATGTTTACATGCAAAGTATAGGTCATAGAACATCATATAGATTTGTACTGATTACTTTTAAAGCTTGATATTTATACGTGTGAGCTTAAGAAATAATCATATTTTTTTCTCTACTTCAATTAGTCTATTTCACATGTATATTTATACAATAGCTAGCAAAAAATTTAAAGTATAATTAATCTATTGATTCTTTGACACACTCATCAACTTCTACAATTATTTCATCACCATCTCGAACCCCATATTCATCTCTTAATTTACAGTCTGTAATTAGTTCAAGTAAATCAGTATCATCACGTTCACCATTATTTGTTCTCCATATATAAGCAAGACGATTAAAGACACGACAAGGTTTCATAATAATTTGTCTTTGCCAACCAAATTCTTCTTTCTCAATTATAATAATTTTACCTTCACTGGATAATAATTTATAATACTGTGGTGAAATTAACCGAACATTTAATGATCCTGGATAAAGCTGTTCAAGTCCAGTTTTAATTTTATATTCCTTAGCATATTTGGACAGCCAGTGATTTGCGTTATTCATACCTAACGTTTAAAATATTTTGTTTGTCATTTTTTCATAGATGAGTGTTGATTTTATACCTGACTCAACAATACCACGTAAGTAACATGTTTTGGAAGTCATATTGGTTTTTTGCATTTTAACTGTTATTATGCAGTAAATAATTTATTAGAAACGAGAAGTGATTCAAAACAGGTGTAATTACATAACCTTGCATCATTCAATATGACTACCCATGACGTTATTTCTGATGCGAATATATAAGAACGATAACACTTGAATCATTCCTTATAAAAGTAAATATATCGTACCTTTCTTCAATTATAAAACCACAAAAAACAATAGCAGGCAGTTAAAATATAAAAATTTTATTGATAGTAAATCCACGCCGTTCAAAATTGACAATGATTAAAAGCACAAATAGTGATTCAACTGGAATATTTGAACAAATTTTCCCAGTGATGAAGAATGTTCGATTAGATGTCTAGATAATGAATATCGTATCTAAAACATAGAAACTAGTGAATATAAAAGATTACAAATTGTATATGAATAGTCTTGCAAAAAAACAAAAAAATGCTGTAACAAATGAAGCGAACCAAAAAATCAGTTAACTCTCTTTATTTTTATCAAAAGATAACTTTTTTATCATAACATCTTTCTAAAAAGTAGTAAATGGAGTTTATAACAAGAGCAAGACAAGATGCAAATAAAGTTTGTCTGATGTCGACAACAGCTAGAAAAATACCTTGAAAACAGTTCGAAAGAAGCCCAAAAAAAACAGCAATCAAATTATAAACGTACAATCACAGACCAATATATATATACATAAAAATCCAATATAGAGGTCATCATAAAACCGTATGAGCAGTATTTTACAACGAGGAAACTTGAGATAAAAATAGTTGAAATTTAACGGCGAGCGAGTGTGCAGTTAAACGAGTGTCAGGTTCTTGATCCCATGCTTCTTCGATTACGTCGAATATTTGATGTAATATCTAAAGAAAAAGTCGCTTAGAGAATAGATACTACTTAAAGTAATAGATTTACCTGATTTTTTATAGATGTTCGGATTATTATTGGTCTTTTCTTCGCTCCTATGACAAGATCATACATAGTTTCTAATGTAATTCTTTGTTCATTTATGTATTCATCAAATGGAGAAAGATATTTTTTATTGTCTAAATTAAACAAAAAAGACAATCAATTAAATTAGATTTTAGATGTACTAAAAAATTACTACAAGGATATTCTTCACATCTTGAAAGAATTTCCCAAAACACGAGTGCAATGGCATAAACATCAACTTTTAATAATGATTCACGAGTATGTGAAATGACACCAACAAGTAACTCAGGTGCCATATAACGAATTGTACCGATCTAAATAGATAAATGATTTTATATATTTAAAACGAGTATGAAGAAAACATATAACTTGGCGCAGAAAAAGCAAAACTTTATCTGTTCTAAGTGTTGAAGTGTTGTGTACAGCGTTAACTTTCTTCTTTGAAATCTGATATTGAGTAGTTCAAAGTCATTCTTGATCATTAGAGATCTTTTGTAATTAAAATTTTAAGAATTCAGATTCATTAATTTTTAATTTTAAATAATAAGTCTTTTTCTTACTTGAACAAAATCATTTCTTGATAATATTTTTTGAGATAAATTCAATGCTACACCAAAATCTGTTAAACAAGCCGTTTTATCATGTTTAATGAGTACATTTGCACTTTTAATATCACGATGAGCTATCATTGGCTTGATTAACATATTTTTTTCATCATATCTTTCCGTATGCAAATAAACAACTCCATTAACTAACGTTGTTAGTAGTACTAGACAATCATGTAATGAAAGAATGTTTAAATTTAAATAATCTTGTAATGAACCATATTCATGATATTGTGTTATTAAACGATATTCAATTTCTTGTGTTAATTCGTTCTTATATTCATCGTGACATAAAAATCTAAAAATTACCCAAAAAAAAAATAATATCAATAAATTCATATTTTCACATATTACCAACTTTATTACTGAACTATGATCAAGTGTCTTAAATATATTTATCTCATTATTCCATAATATATGATTTTTTTTATAATAAATTTTTAATGATACATATGATTCATTGTTCAGCCAAGCCTTCCAAACAATACTATTGTTACTTTTCGATAATAAATGAAGTTTTTTTAATGATTTTATTGTTGTTGATGTTGTTGATTGTTCAGCATTTAATAACAACGGATTTATATTCAAATTTTTTTCATGCCTAATTTTCAGACATTTTCGATGATGATGGCAGTTCAAAGCCGATTTACAATATTTTTTTATTAAACATAGAATAAGAATAATTAAGCAAAGAGTAGTGAGAACAATTATCAAAACAAATATAAGAATAACTCGTTGGTGTGAAGGAATAATCACTGTTGTTTGCTTTGAGGATGATGACGAGAAGAAAGAAAAATCTAAAATTAAACAGAAAAATAATCATTCTTAGTCTATTACTTTCTGAACGAAGTCTTTCTATAGTCCTCATTTTTATATCGAGTAATTATACCACTTGCCAAACGCTTTATCTATATCGTATGGATCATCCATTATTCTGCTGTGTTTGATTTTGTTTTTAGTTAGTAGAAAATTTGAAGATGATTCACCTTCAATCTGTCTCTATTACTTACTAGTATGATACACTGGAGTTGATTCAGTTAAATTTGATTCTAATTCCCAGTCTAATGTACAATTATTTGTTGTACAGCAACAGTGGAACGTGTCATCCTTTCGTTCGTCACGATGTAATACACATTTTGTAGGAGTTTTGCATTTAGAATCTCTCATGATAGTTAGTGCTTTTATCAATATTTGATCGGAAACGTTAAGATAAAGTCCTACACACACAGCATTCTCTTCATAATTATATTTATATGAACATAATGATAATGAATTTTCGTTGGTACAATTATATATGAGGCTATGTGTACTAACTGTATGAGATTGAAGATATACAGGACATTGTAATGCGATAATCATATTGTACATAAGTACTAAAACAGAAAAAAGATAAAAGAACAGTTCCATTCATCAAAAAACCACATTATTTCCCTATATTTCGCCTTTTCACAGTTTTATAAGAGATAAGTTTCAACTTGTGTTTAGGCCACATTCCTCGTACTAATTTCGTGCTTTCTACTGTTTATTACGAAAAAGATCTATATCCATCGTTCATAAATAAATCGTAACGATCATAGCAAGTGGTCTGTGGGAAAAAGAAACATGTCAATGCGAATATTTCTAAGAGAACTTCTATAGAGCATATTACAGTAAAAAGTGTGCATGCTATTTTTGATAGAACCTCAAAATACTTTACTGTGAGGTAGCGAACATTGATTAGTAAATCTGAACTACAGGCAGTGAATCTGTAAGAAAAAGCATATTTAACTTACCAAACAAGAGAAATCGATATATCATCGCCAATCACAAACGAAGTTGAAATTCAATTATAGTTTTCTGTTCAATGCATTTTCGATCAGTCAAGAAACCAAGACAATTCGAGTAATAATAAATTTAACGGAAAATGAGAGAGAAATGATCGTTATTATGTATTAGATTCGTTTCTGAAACAATCAAGTTTTTAACATTAATATTCTGTCAACCATCAGATTTTCTTTAAATCGTTTATTCAAAAAAACAATTATGATTATATTTTTTAATTGTAAATCATTTGTTTCAATAAGCAGCTGGGGACAGCTAGATTTGAAAATTAGCCATTAGACTCTAGTATTGATGTGGGTTTGTAGTGCCTTGACCTTTTAATTCCACTGTAGTCTGACACTAAAAAATTAGGTTCTGATTGACTGTTTCTCTAAGTTTTCGGCAGTTCTCCATAGCCAAAGGAAGAAAAGAATATTTTTCGGAAATTTAAAAAAAACTTTGACATTCAGAGAAACTTTCTGTTTAACCGGACCTTTTGACTTTAACTGCCATCCATTTCAAAATAGAAGGGGTCTGAGTGTTCCAGGAGAGGTTATAAACAGTAACCGATAGAGATTTGCAGCTCTCGCTGTTAGGCAGAGGAAATTGAGGGACGTTTTCTCGTAAAGAGAAAGCTTAAAATTTTTTTTAGAAGGCAAGGTTTTGAAAGTCTTCAGGATTTAAAAAATTTACAACTTAGTCATTGTCGATCCAAACTAGCTCAGAATATTAAGATATACTTTATCTTACGTAAAGTATACTGTGAAGTTCAATAAACAACCAAACACACATACTCACGTAGAAATGAGTGTCTGTATGCTGTCTGTATATATCTGTGGAAAAAAATCGTAACAAATATGTATCTGTGGATGTCTGCATGTTTTACTATTATCTTTTATTAATCTTAAGTATGGAATCATGTTGAGGAAATAGATACGGTTTATCTGGATGTTCACAACTAGCTGGGATCGATTTTGACTAAGTTATGAATTTTTTCTATTTTAACTTTCTGAGAAAACAGCAAAAATTAGATTTATTGCATCTAATATAGCTTTTCACTAGGTTTCTTAAGTTTTTTCGAAGAGCTAACTCAAGACTAAGCATAGTCTATGATCAATGTTCCATCAGGTTGTGAGATCATCATGAGTTGGAGCGGAGCAATCCTTAAACTCTCAGAAAAATCAACGTCACATAGAAACTGTGACACAAAGAGTACAGATGGCTCTCATTTTTTATAGGATACTATAAGCCATTAATTCAGGTAAAAAAAAATACACCGCTATTTCAAAGTTAAGAAACCCGAACGAATTTTTCAAAGTCCTTTTATAACCTTACATTCTAAAACGATTTTTAAACTTTCTTTTTTACAAAAAAAAACGTCCTCCAGTCTTTTATATTCAATAGCGGAAACTGGGAATCTTTATCTTTCACATTTCTATCCTATTTTGAAACAGATAGTAACATAAATTATATTATAAAAGACTCTTGCAATTATTTAATTTTCCTTTTTCATGTGTCACACTATACTCACACTATACGCACATTATTCTTAGTACAGCAAATCAGTATATAAATCACTGTTCCAATAGTTAACAACAGTTGTTATCTACGACTAGAAGAAAGCAACATTCACTCCCTTTTTGTCTTATCATACACAGACATAAAAGTCGGCGCGGACAAAAAGTTTTCAGGACCTTCCACAAGATGCTACTGATTGGAAAAGTTTTTGAAGAATGAGCGCTGTTTGTCGAGAAAAAAACATTTCTTCTTGCCAAAAAGCAGTTTTGCAGAAAATCTGTATATCAATACTGCTGCAGCCGAAACTAAAAGAATCTGGGGCAAAAAAAAGTAGCAATCAAACTTTTTGATCAGTGACGGTGATCAGATGACTCGATGTCGAGCGATGAGCCCAGGAATCAATATATTTTTAGACTGAGATTTCCAATTTTTTCTAGCAAAAAATCTTACCTTTTATTTACATGCGGTCAAAATTTGGTGGGGAATCCATTGTAGACCTGTTCAATGAACCCGCCTGACATGTTCCCGGAAAAATCGAAAAACGTTAGACTGATAGATTTATGAGAGAGAAGGACTTGAAAATAACTAGAATGGCCTAGGAACGAAAAGTATCAGATCAAAGAACTGAGAGGTCGCTATGGATTGTACAGTGGAAGAACTGCGTTGTTGTATTTTCAAAGATCCGTTTGCACACTATAGCTTTTTTCAATAAAGAATTTATCGTATTTCAGAGCATTTTTAGTTCTATCATCTGGTTGATTACTTTTTCATTGGATTAGGCGAAGCAAACAGATCTCGTCTTTGATAAAAACTGATAATCTGCGGAGAATTAAGGAGGCAGGCAGTCATGCATTCACATGTAATGCATATTTTGAATATTTTAAATTATCAGTCATAACAGTTAGAGAGCAAAAATCAAAAGCCAGCTTGTCTTGAATGGTATTTCGTGGTATTTTCATCAACTCGTGGCTAAAAGCTTTAATCGTCGAGTATTTATGGAATACGCCGAAATTCAAAACTTACAGATCCTTTGGTGTTTTTACACATTGATCACACTCTTATTTATACCTACAGTATAGGATGTGGTTACTCTGTAGAAGTGACGCGTTACAGATAGCTTTTTGGCTAAGTCACATCTACGAACACGTCCAGAGCTAGTCTGCGAACTAAATGAAACGTAGTGATGACCTACATCTGTGAAAAATACTTTTATCGCATATTCGGGGTCAAATATATCGATACCTATTATCTGGATTCTATTTGACCTTAAAACCTGTTTGTTTCAGTCCATTGACACTGAGAAAATCTACTATTGCGCATGAAGATTTAGCGTCCGAAAATATTTTTATCTTCGGCCTATCACTTTCGACAAATCTAGTCGTTTTATAACAACAACAAGTAAAAAGAAGCTGGAATTCTGACTAACTCATACTCTTTGTCTTCTTCTTGTCTGGCGCTGTTAAAATGTATTCATGTATTTGGGAAGAAGCTGTGGATTTCTTTTCGTATCCTTAATCTAAGTAAAGGAAAATGTGAAGAATTCACCATGTAATAGAGACTATTATATATTAGTCCGAATTGTTGTAATGGTGGTATACTTCATAAGTGTTTTAGATGTAAAATATTGTGATGCTATCGTTTTAATATTTCTCTACTTTGTTTTTTAAGATTTCTTTTCATGAGAACCTCTGTGTTCAAAGCAGACAGTGAATTAAGCCCTGGCCCTCTGAAACGGCATTATAGTACTGATGAAGTTGATCAAATAAATAGCAAACACGACGAGAAAAAGATCTCGTTACATGGCTGTTTTCAATCAGATAATTTACAGCTCATTCAACTACACGATCATCTCGTTCCAAATGCAGATTTAGACCAGCAGACAAATACTCAAATACAAAAACGAAATGCTCAGAATTCGGAGCTGTTCTCACATAAATTATTGGTACGCCTATTTAGAAAATGATATAGTTGCAAATTCTTTGACTTTATACTTAGCTTTTCTTTTTTTTAGAAAGTTTCTCAATGGTTCCTTGAATTAACGGATGATCAACGAAATATTTTATTAAGGGAATTGTCGGTTAGTACGATAAAAAAAAATTTCCATTACTTTGTAATAAATAGAATCGTTGATATTTGTAGGATTTATGTAATTCATCTCAATGGCATTTGCTGTCCACAATGGCGTCTTCCAATTGGCACAGAGATTGTCCTGACAATTGTTGTGATTTACTGACAAACCTACCATTTACAATATCATTGTATATATTATCATTTTTAGATCCAGGTAAACAGTAGATTGAACGTAATTTATTCCAGGTCCACATTGTATATCTTTCTGTTTTTAGTTTCGTTAGCGCGTTCATCATGTGTCAGTCGGTTATGGTATAGTCTGTGTTCACAATCAGAATTATGGAAAAAATTTTGTCGTTTGAAGAAATGGCATTTATCATCCACTCAGTTTGATCAGCAACAAATAGAGAAATATCGACTTGACAGTGGTTGTTTCGAAGTAAGAACATTTACAATAATCACAAATAAAACTATGTTAAAACAAGCATGTAGAAGTATGAGAAGGAGGTTAGCAGCACTATAAATGAAAAAAACAAATGTCAAATATATCTGTCAGAAAATTCTCAAGCAAATTAGGACTAGATAGAAACTGTAAAAATTGATTATCATATTATTATTGGTTAATACTTATAAGTAATTTTTTTAGTGGAAGAGAATTTTTATCGAACGCTATCGATTACGATCGAATTGGTTGAAAAGTCGTTGTAGTGTACAAACATTTATTGGTCATGTTGAAGGTTTGTAGCGTTAGGTACTACGAATTTGTGTAAAGAATTATTTCTAAGATATTTTTAGGAATCTCGTGTGTACAGTTTGATGAGAAAAGAATTATAAGTGGATGTACTGGTGGATCAATCAAAGTAAATTGTTGTTTGTACTTTCAAACGATCAACTGTTATGTTCTTTGAGTTTAGGTGTGGGATATAAACACAACTACTGAAATAATGACATTGGTCGGACATTCAAAAGCCGTTCGTTGTTTGTTCGTAGACGGTCTAAGATTAGTTAGCGGCTCGAATGATCGCAGCATCAAAGTAAGTTGATGAATTAAAAGAGCATAGTTTTGGTGTCCTATACATTATACACAATTTGCGGCTATCATTTAGTATCGTTTCTCATGTTGAACACAGAAGTTAGGTTTTGCCTTAGTAACATTGCATAGCCTGTTTGAAAATACCCTTCAGTAGTTCGTAATTTCAACACTGATGATTGTCTGTTATTTATGATCTGTTTTTGTACATTAGCTAACTGATTATAGGTTTGGGATATTTCAATAAATCAAAGTTGGTCAAAATTTGCGTGTAAGACAACGCTACTTGGACATACTGACACAGTTCGATGTTTATATGTGAGTAAAATATAAAACAATGTTTATTTTAATTTATAATCATGTGATATTCTAATCTAGGTTCGTGAAAACTTTTGTGTAAGTGGATCTCACGATAATAGTATCAAAATTTGGGATCTTAAAACTGGTCAATGTTTAAAAACGCTATTGTAAGTTGTCAGTTGATTTTTAGACTTTGATTTTACTTTGATCTTGTATGTACTTTGTTTTGTAGAGACCATTCAGATAAAGTATTGTGTGTACAATTTAACAATGATTATATAGTATCAGGATCAACGGATAAAACTATTAAGGTTATTTAGAAGAATTTTTGTATTTCTTGTGATTTAGTAAGGCGTCTCTTTCTGTTTTAATAGGTTTGGCGTTTTGTTGATGGATCGTGTGTGAGAACGTTAATAGGCCATACCGGTGCGGTAACGTGCATCTATTTCGATAAATCTGTGGTAATTAGTGGATCACTAGATTGGGATATTCGCTTTTGGGATCTGGAGAAAGGAGAATGTCGCCAGAAAATTGACTGGATGACAAAAGAAGGGTACATATTTTAACGAGTGTATTACAATCAGATTAATTTTATGTAAACATATTTTAGACATACAGGTGTGGTACGCTGTTTGCAAGCCGATACAAGGATTGTACTCAGTGGATCAGATGATAAGACTATAAAAGTATGTAAAACTTACTTTCTTCGGTAATTCGAAATTTTTTAATAGTGTTTAGGTTTTAGAACAATCTTATTCAATGTAACAGTGTTTAGTAAACGTATTATTAAGACGCAGAGATTAATTAAAACATTAAGTAGAAAGTATTTAAAGAAAGCGTCACTATTCTGGTTGTTGATTTCTTCAATTTTTTAATTATTTAGGATTAAGCGTTCTGAGGATGTACGTCACATCCCTAAAATCTACTTCTATTGTCCGTCTCTTAAAAGAATAAACTCGGTCATTTCTTAAATAGATCAAGGGCAAAAAACTTCATGATACACTCTTTCACGGATGCTCTGTTTGCTCTGTTTCAGCACAAAATAAAAAGTACCTTTAAAAAAGATTTTTAGTTTTCAGAACGGTTTTTTATAAAATCTTAAAAAAGAAACAAAAAAACAGATGATTCGCGATTTTTAATATCATAACCACGTTTCCCATAGAGAATCAATTATATCCTGAAATTTTTAAGACATTTACGTTAGTTTTGAGTGAAATCGTCAATCGCCATTTTGTTTTGTTCTTACGATATCTTTTTAATGGAGAGGCAGTAGAGATGCTTTACGATATGTTTTAATAGTAATCGAATCAGTAAGACAAAAATGTTTTACGATAAATCAATTATAGGTATGGAACATTGAAACTGGTGAACGTCTTTGTACACTTCGAAATCACGGCGATGGTGTAACATGTTTGCAGTTTAATGATTATATGATTGTTTCGGGCTCCTATGATCGTTCTGTTAAATTATGGAATTTTCGTCAATGCTGAATAGTTGTCAACTTCTTGATTAACAAAATTATTTATTCATTGTTAATAATTTATTTTCTTTCCGAACCGGTGTGTGTTTTGTGTATATTTATGTGTCAATCGCCAATGCTGATATTGCATCTTCGATGAGTAACAGTGGTTATGTTAAAACAGTTCATTTTCTTTTGTCTATTGAAAAAAAAGTGACAAGAGAAACAAAATAACAACTTTGGTTTTCATTTTCTTTCAGCAATAAATACCCAAAACTGATCAGAAAAATCAGATGATTATTTATTTATTAATTATTTTCTTATCTAGATTAGTCTTTTTACGAACGAGTTATTATTTATTTGTGTATGTTTTATTTAACTGAAACCACTTTAAATTCATATACTCGTTATAAAGAATAATACTTTAATCATTCATATCTTTTTTTCTTTCGTGTACGATTTTGAACATCTTTTCTTTTCGATGTTTAACGCATATTTTTGTCTGTTTTTTTTTTGTACTACTCTATTTTTTCTTTGTTACTTATTTCATAAAACTATTTTTCATCCGGTCAGAAATCTGAACGACGAGTTAAAATACTGTTTTTTTTTAATATTATCTAAATTAAACAAGAGTACGTCTTTTTGCTTCTTTTTTAAGCATGTGTCGTAGAAGTTTGTTAATAAAATAAAAGATACATCACACACACAGAGAGTTTAGTAAAAAACAAAATCTTTTCATATTCTATCTGTATTTTATTCTATTGTTAATGATTCACATTTCCATGCTGGTATAGTTTGTCTTCTAGATTGTTTCGTTTTTGTTTCTGTTATATTATGCGTGAATATAAATTGGTAGTTTTGGGTAGTGGTGGTGTTGGCAAGAGTGCTCTGGTAAGTATCAGATGATTTTAATCAGTGTACTGTTCACTTGTTTTACTACTATCTATTTTAGACTGTTCAATTTGTACAAGGAATATTCGTTGAAAAATATGGTAGAATATTTTATTTAATTCATTACAGAAAAAAAATAAATAACTCATATGTTTATTTTTATTTCAGATCCGACAATCGAAGATAGTTATCGAAAACAAGTTGAAGTTGACGGAATACAGTCAATGTTAGAAATTCTTGACACAGCTGGAACAGTAGGATTTATACATTGAAATTCTGAAAAACATACATTTATTTTTCATTTATTTTTCTTAGGAACAATTCACAGCTATGCGTGATTTATACATGAAAAATGGTCAAGGTTTTGTATTAGTCTATTCAATAACAGCACAATCAACCTATAATGATTTAGTTGATTTAAGAGATACGATTTTGAAAGTGAAAGATACAACGGATGTAGGTTAAATTTATTATTAATTCTTTTAACTTTTATTAAGATTACTATTTATTTTACTCTATTTGAAGGTTCCAATGGTCTTAGTAGGCAACAAATGTGATTTAGAAGATGAACGTGTGGTTGGAAAAGAAGTAGGACAAACATTAGCACGTAATTGGTGTAGTACATTTCTTGAAACATCAGCCAAACTAAAAGTTAATGTAAACGAGGTGAGTAAACATATAAAACAACTTTGTAAAAGTGTTTGTTTTCAGAAGAAAAAGACTCCAGTGGAATTGTTAGATCTGATAAGTAAAGCTCAATGTTATTTAGATTTTTTTTGATCTCGTTCGACAAATAAACAAACGAACACCTGTAAATAAAGATAAAAACAAAAAACGTAATGTACCACAATCAAATACAATTTCATCCTCTAATGTTAATAATGGACAACCCACTGATGGTAACAATACAAATGGTTGCTGTGTATTATTATAAAACAACAACAAAAAAAAGAACGAATTGATAATAAATATCAGAGCACTTTTTTTTCAAATGATATATGTAAATGAATGATTTTCGAGGTGTTTTTTCGTTTTTTTTTCTTTTTCCGGTCTTTATTTTATTTTTTTGTTTCTACTGTATTTTGACATCTGGCTTTGGAAGAATTTATTCTAGTCAAATTCTTATGAAAAAGAGGTGTTGTTTTTGTTTTTTTGCCTGATTAATCTTATCTATTTAGATATTTTTCGATTTGGTACGTCAAATTAATCGCGGCGAACAAGTACACGAGAAAGAACGTCATCATCATCATAGTAAAAGTAAAAACGATGTATCAAATTCACACATGAATACTTCTTCAGTTACAGCAGAAAGCACTAATGTAGGAAAAAAGAGTAAAAAATCAAATCAGCGTGATAAATCTGGATGTATGCTGCTGTAAACAATTTCATTTTCATATCAGTATTAAAACATTTGACATTCAATATTTGAAATTGATTTATCGTTTTTATTCAACTATGTTTGTCTTGAGGGTGAGAGAAATTTCAGTTTAACTAATTTTTGCTTGCTATTGCTGGCTAAATTGGTTCACTTAATCATAAAATCTAGTTCTATTAATTAGTTTTGGGACATACATTCATTATTTTTTTTCTCTTAATTTAACTTGAGTAAAAAAAAAAAAATCCTAGATTTTTTGCTAAGTTACTCATATCATAAATTATTATTAACCGTATGATTTAGTTTTTGCTACAATAACTAATTCACTTGAGGCTTCATGATTTTGTTTGCTGAAACAATATGATTAGTTTAAAAAAAAATAATATGAACATTTATATTTTAGGTTAATCGAACTTTGTATTGTAATCATTTGTTTTTTTTTGTCTTTGTCTATCTCTTAAACTACTATTGTGTTTTGTCCGAAATGATTTATGTGAAAGATTTATGAGTCAAGATTTTTTCTTTTTGTTTGTAAACAAATCAAACCTGCATGTGGTTCTTTTTATTCTTTATCTACTATCTATTTGATTGAGTTTTTGAGCATGAAAATAAAAAACCTGTTTATCTCTTTCTTAATTAGCATTTATTATTCATTACTATTTTGTGTTGGGTCTGGTTTTTTTTGTTTCTCGTTTAAATGAGTCAACTTTTTGAAATGAAAAAATGTATATTAAAACGAGACTTTCATATTTTTGTTGTGTTTCTTGTTTTTTTTTGAAGTGTCCTTCATATCAAGTTTTTCTTTTATCATTAAATAGTTCGAAAACTATGTTAATGCTTTTTTAAACCAACGTTACTCTTCGTTTTCTTACTCTTCAATTTTGCTCTTGTGCGTGAAAAATTCATAATCTTGTATTCGTTGTTTGTTGTTTCTTTCAAAATTCTCTTTCTCTTTTTTTCATTTGATGTGCAATAAAAAAAAAAAGAGTTTATATCAAATAGTTAGACCATGCGTGAAGATTTATGGCTATTTCATTTTCAAACCTTGTCAGGATTTTTAATAAAATTGAATGAAATTAAATTAGCTTGTGTTTTCCGAAAACTTTTCATACTACTGATGATACACCGTAAACATGAAAAAGATTCAACAAATAATGAGAGGATAATATTTAATTTTAAAAATTTCTCATACTATTTGATAGAAAGGTTAGTAACTATCTTCTCGTCAAAATACATAACACACTGAATTTTCAGTTAACGTTTCCATCTCATAATTATCATTGCAATTGAGGATTTACTTTTACTTTTTTAGCATATTCTTTCTCAAAAAGATTATATAGGTGAGATACGACTTCGCTGTTTCTTTTTATGTTTTCGTAATTGTATCATTTACTTATATGATGACTCAGTTTCGAAAACACAATACATAAATATGAATATACCTTAAACAAACTTTACGCTAATGTTGTATTACACACCTACAAATTCTAATGTTTAGTAACAGTAGAAACTTCCGTTTAGGTTTTATAGTCAGTTATTGTTTTTTTAAGTTGATTCTCCCCATACGTATGGTGGAATAACAAAACTTTTAGACAACATTATTATTATTGTCCTCACTTTATTTTGAATTCAGCACAATTGTATGGATAGATTATTAGAGGATTTAATCATTACAAGCATCCTGTTTTGCGAGTTGCAGAATAATAGAGATAGTATTTTTGATGGAAAATAAAAACATGGATGCATGAATGAAAAAAGATTTTGAAAAAGACTTGAGCTTATTATTGAACTAAAAAACTGTTTGTCTATTTTCATTTTTTTATCGACAACTTCTTTTCACAACCACATTTTCCCACTTAGTCCTTGTGTTAATGATTTTGTTACTCCTTCTAGTTCACCTGAGATGTTTGTTATTTGTTTTTGACTTTAATGATAGAAGATAAGTACAGTAATTTTGATGATTTTGTTTTATTTGATAGATATTGTTAGTCAAGTATCTTCTGTAAGAGTTGTTTGTCCATCAATTAATTACTTTTACAGTTCAACTTGTTTTTTAATAAATTTCTTTCTTGTTCATTTGCCTTCTTTAATGCAATATGTGTTTTATCAAGTTTTTTTTATCATCACATTATTGTCTGCTGTTCGTGAAAGACATAATGCAATACTGTTGCTTTTTTTAAATTACACTTTTGAGTATGACTAATAAATAATTGTTAACACTGAATGTATACCAGATAACCGACAAAAATTAATGACAAGTATTGTATTCATTTCTTATAGTGTAGCAATCACTTAATGTTTCTGAATTACTACTTTCAAACACTATGCCATGATTAATCGATCGTAAAATCATAATTACTTTTTCATTTGAACTTGAGTACAAAACGCCGAGAGTAAATAATTGTTTAGTAAAACTTTTTGCTCAACATCGGCACTTCTATGTGAGTAACCTAAGAGATTTTTTAATAACTTTAGCAACAATCGACATTTCTGTACATCATGTGAAGTAGGAATTTCATAAATATTTATCCAATAAAGAGATTGTGTATGAACGTTGATGTCTAAATGTCCATTTTTTCCTGAAATCTTAATAAAAATGCAACTTTTTTTCTAATTTTATCCTACTAGAGAGTACTAAGAGAGTACCCAAAGATTTTCAAATGGCCTCTTGAAAATTTTGATATCAATGCTTAATTTAGGTATGGTGCAATGAGATTAGGGATAGCTGTAAAATTCATTCTGAACATTCTTTTTTAAGATACAGATTTTTACAATCACCAACTATTTGTTGTCTGCTGAGCAATCCTTTACCAACTGTGACAGCGGTGTACCTTTACATAGCATGTTTAAACATATGATATTGCAAACGCTTGATAGTGATAAAGAAAGTATATAAAAGTATGGAAGACGACTCGTCTTGTCTCACTGATCATTTGCATAGTAAGAACAGATTGAGTCATTCTGATATGTGACTGGTGAACATTGTTTGTCTTGTAAACACATGCATTTACAACTTTGTCTACTTTTTTTATCATTACTTCCTTTTTTTTACTTTTTAACTCACCACTTGTCTGACTTGTAGATGCGCAAAAACATGTTTTTGATAATGAAAATCATTGACATAAAAAAGTAGAAAAATTTTAGTAGCATGCTATTCCAGTAAAATGTTTGTCTGAAAAATAAACTGCGTCTTGAAATGACAAATCTATGACAGATTTGAACTAGTATAATTGAAAAAAAAGGATATGTCAGTTCCTTTTCATTCTACTATATACATAGAAAAAAAGATATTATTTAAAATTAAAGAACTGAAGTTCTTTGAAGTGAAAAGAATTATAAGTGTAACCATATGGCTGCGCTAGCTACTGGTTGGATGTGACTGAACAATTCATTGTAAGACTTTACGTCTCATGTGTAATTAATCTCCTGCTTTGGGATCCACAGTTCGTCTTTATACATTATTCATTAATAACGTTCAGAAATGATGAAGAACTTTGCTCGCGTTTTTTCAAAGATACAATAAAGTTAAACAACATATCAAATTTCAATCGACTTTTATCTAGAATCATTAAATGATAGAGTTATGTACAAAACGAAGTTATCCATCTAGACCACTTAAAAAGAAATGCACTGAACAGTAGACTCCTGCGGGACGGCCCCAAATCCAGTCCCAGCTGTCCCGTCTCGTGGGACGGACGGAGTCGGAACAAAAAGAAATTTAGGGATTGGGACTCATGGGCTTGGGACAAATTATATTTTTCTGGGTTCGAGCTTACGGACTCGAGACAAAAGGAAAAAATCATGTTCCTTATCCAAATCTAGCAGATGTATTATTTATCGGTTTAAATATACGGGGTAAACGATACGGCGAAACCCATGGTTCTCTTTTCGGGACAAAATAATTTTTTCGTGGGGTCGGATTAAATAAAAATTTTACGGGCTTGAGCAACAAAAAGTTTGCTCCATAGGAGTCTACTGAACAGATCGAATAGAAGGTTGTTTCATCATGTCTACTGAATGTCCTTGGTGAATAATCCATAAAGACAAAAAGATGACTATCCGTCCAGCGGCGAGTAGTTAATTTTCTGTGATGCGTGAAGTTACCAGACGATTTTTTCAAAAGACGAGAAGGCTGCGAGGAATTGTCTGAGACAAATAGTCTCTCAATGAATTGTCCTAGTACCCCAATTAGAAAATTAACTCTATATACGTTCATGCTAAACTTTCGGATGACATCATGAGAAAAATGACTACTGCTAGTTAAAGACTCACTAAATATTTTTATGTCTTAGAGTAAAAGGCAGATTAGTAGTGAATTCAGTACATCAGAAAATCGAGCACAACAATTTTTTCTAATAAAATTCAATTGGATCGCGTGAAACACGTATTAAACTGTCATCATAAAGTTACTTAAATCACGAACTAATGATATTTTTTAAACTAAAAAGGCATAGTTTGGATATAAAAAACATTTCTTGCGTTTTACTCATCTGTTTGTTATATGTGTTACAAAAATGCTTCCACGCAGTTTTGTTCGTTTTATATACAGCTTCGAGATGGGCGGATGTGTCTATGTTTACTGTAACTGATCTCCGATTTGAGATATCACTGTTTTTATTTAATAAAATATGTTTATTGGAGTTTGCGGTTCCGTCAAACGTGTTTTCACGCACTGAATTTTGTTACCTCATCTATCTCATGGCCATAATAGAGATTCTCGTTCTAATAGTGTAAGTTTCCGTTCATAAGACCAAAAATTGTATAGATTCTAGCTATTAAATTATACAAGAACAAATGGAAAAATTGTATCAGAGAAGAAGCTTTAACTATTGCTTTGTTTAACTATTAAATAATATCATAAAGGATCGAGTGGAGTCGCTATCATATTTAATCTGTTGGTGCTACTGTTAATATCAACAATACGAAATGCTTCGAGAAATTCGTTAAAGTCTATAATACCATTTTTATCCAAATCAATACTCGTTGCTAAATCAATTATTTGTTTATCATTGAATAATGAACCCTTATGACGACCGAGAAATGTACACACATCTTTGAATTCTTCTAGTGATATAAAACCTACAGTAAAATTAAATCAGTCAAAATATATATTATAAATTCATCTGTCGCGTGTACCTGAGTTATCTTTGTCTATTGCTCTAAATACGGTTTCTAATAATTCTTTGTTACGATAAATTGTTTGACATACAGTGGGACTGCTCTGTGAAAAAAATATACTTTCTCAAACTACGTGTAAAAAATATTTTTCTGGTAATCTGTGAGACATACCTGAGGTTTAGTTACGTTTAATAAACACTGTAATTCATATGACTTGAATGTTGATTCATAGATAATTTTTGTATCATCTTCTTCAACCAAACGAGATCGAAGTGTTCTCCATGGTAATCTCAGACTTAAAACATTTGTCACAATGTCACACCACTCGTTCAAAGATATTTTGCCTTAAGAAAGAGAACCGTAAGAAATGAATACTGTACTCTTTAGCAGGGACTATTGTACCTGTTCCATTAGGATCATGTTGTAGAAATTTTTTCATTAATAATCCTTCATTAGCATGAAATTTTTCTATTAAATTGCGAAGTGCATGTTCCTCAACACGAGACACTCTAGTAATAGCAGAAGAATATTCATATGAGTAACATTTTCTATTTAAATATATTCGAGAAAATTGATGATAAATAATTCATGTTTTTCAAACCGATAACTAACAGCAGTTAACTGTGACTTTGCTTTAATGTGGTTCAACTCTATCTATTCTAATTGGGGATCATACTATCTTCTTTTAGTTATTTTTGTTGATATGATGATTAGAAAGCCATTTACGATCAACATTAACTTAATCTTTGTGCTTCTTCAATCAATACTTAGTAAACTGTATTAATATATGTGTGGTCTTTTTAACAGTTTGTTTTTCCTGATTTTCTAACTTAAATCGTGTTTACAAAACGTCAATAGAAAAGAATCCTTTAAAGCTGACTGTAAACTACACTGATGATGTGAGTAGTTTTCAAAATCCCTTAGAAACATTTGATATTGTCACAAAAAGTATGGATTGTAGGAGTAACTACCTTTGGGGCTGTTCAGCTATCTGGTGTGTTCAATGTTGACACTTTTTATGAATAAATCTATATTTCCGACAGAGGAAAGGAGGTTTAAATGGACTGAAAATAATAATTCAATAGGGAACATAAATTCAGTCAATGCAGCGATTTTTTCATTGTTAGTTTGGCGTCAGTCTAAAGTGCTTGATAATTGTGTATATGAACGTGGCTAAACTTATATCAAAAGAAGCGTCCCCTGACTTGCAGCTTTTGCTCAAAATCATTTTAACATACTCTGCCTGAGAGACTTAAAAAAATAAAATAGGAAAAATTAAAGAACTTTTTCCGATTTAATACTCATCTACACACTAAAAAATAATGTGTCGCATGTATCACAAAATCCGACATAATCATCTGCGATACCTGGAGCCATTTGCGACACATCTTCATGCGATGCATTCCGCTGAGTATTTCTTCCATAGAGAAAACAGTGAAAATTAAGTATTTTTTATCTCTTGTTTGATTTTAAGAATATTTTTGGTTCGCTTTGGGTGCATTAGGTAATGTCAACGAGCTCAATCCACCCGTAATATTTACAGGCCTTCAAAACATTTAGTTTCCGAGATCTGGGATTAATAGCTTAGTCAATGCCTGGGATTGGTTCTTTTTCATCCGAGAAAAAATACTTAACGTAGAAAAATGATTAAAAGGACTCCGAGAGCGATCTTTATCCACGAATAACATCAATTCGAAATTGAAAGAACTTGAAAAGTCCGAAAATTTTCTTATATTTTACGTATTAGCACCACCTATAGCTCATCAAAATTAAAGAGAAGCCGAGAAATATCCAAATGAAGACTGTTGAGAATAGTAAAACATAAAATTTAGCAACCTTTTGAACAGAATTGATCCTGAAATGACTTCAAGAACTGTGTCTAAAAGTTCTTAGTAACGACATAAACATGCGACACATCATCTTTTACTGTGTAAAGTACTGCAGACATGTATCTTGTGCATTCTTCTGCCCAAGATTACAGTAATCCGTTTTAAAATTTAGTTATGTTCCTTTCATTGATAGATATTGATGTAATGTTAATAGTCTAACATAATAATTCTAAATTAATCTATGCTAACCTTTCCCACATTGTCATGGGTTTCATACGCGTTTTTGTCACCATAAATTGTATAATAATTGGTGGAATATTTGGAATTATTTTTACATAGGCTCCTTTATTCGATCCACTTGAATAGTAATTTGACGCGGAAAAAATTGTCAATACTTTATCATTGTGACAATAGTCGAAACCTTCTCGCTTGCATTCATGTGATCGTATTATAAGACTCCATTTATGCTTTTTCATAATCATCTCTGTAATGTCTTGTCCAAAATAGCATCCACCTCCTCTATAAAGGTTTGGTTCACAACCATTTTTCGCATGCGGATCACTCCATAAAATATCTAACACCTATAAAAATAGAACATTTTATATCAACAACAAGAACTCATTAATTTATATCACTTGTCGCCATTCGAGTAAAATTTCTTTTGATATACCGTCGATATGATACTCATCTTCATAAGGAACAATAAAACTCGGACTTAAAACAGACACATACTTTAAAAAAAACAATATAATTTAGTTTAAATATCGAATAATATTGGATTAATTAAAATCTATACCTTATGACGTTTAATTTTTTTGATTATATTTAAATCTGTTATATCTGAAATACCACCATGTGTAACAAATATCTTTTCATCAATAACACTTGCTAATGGTAACCAACTGAACACATTTTCAAATAGACGCAAAATTCGTGTAGCTTGTGACTTGTATTTACTAATTACTTCTTTCATAAATCCATACCTATAAAATATTAACTATTTAATACTTTTTTTATACTAGTAATGATGTATAATTTACCTCAAATTCATTACATGATCTTCATGATTTCCTCGATTAATAAACACTCCATTTGGATAAAGAAGTAACGATACACATATTAATATAAACACTTCAATACTATAAGAACCTCTATCAACAATGTCACCATTGTAAATATATGGATTATCATTAGATGGTATACCATTCTAAATTCAGTATAATCTAAATCTTTTCTATTTAAACTTTTTATTTTTTATTTTTTTACTTTGTGAAAAATAACCATTAAATCACTAAGATTTCCATGAAGATCACCGACAACAGTTACAACATTTGCTCTCGATGTTGATACAATATTAATATTTGGTAATTGTTTTAATAACTTTCGAACTTCATGTAAAATTAATAGAACATAATGAGCATGTAATATTTCTCCTTTTTGAAATGAATCAATTAAAGTTTCAAATTGACTTTTATCAAGTGGTAGAAGAATATGCGGACCCTTGCTTGATAAATCAATAGATACCATATGTGGTGATGTAAATGCTTCAAGTTCTTCATCTTCTGCTTTTAAAAATTTAATAAAAAATAACATATACACCGTAATTTTGAATTCATTTCCAGTTTATAGAAAATCGATCGAAAAATTGTCAGGAATTTTCTAGTTTATAGAAATTTCTCGACGAATTTCCAGCTTTCTAGGAAATGTTTATTTTCTACTTTATAGAAAATCGACTTGAATTTTCATAAATTCGATTTTCTATAAAGGTGGAGAATCGCGGAGGATTTTCTATAAATAATTTCCAAGAATCTAGAAATTCGATTTTGATTTCGCCGGGAATTTTCTAGAAAGTGGAAATTCATCCCGGGAATTTCTAGACAAAATACTTATTCATCTTTTTGTTTGCAATCAGTGTAGATAACAGCAGTAAAGACACTCATATTACACTTAAATCAACTTTGACAGTTTCTAATTTAGATCACAATTCTGCCTATACCAGCAAGAATTTTGATTTAGGCAGAGTCAGTGGTGGCGCGAAGCTTCGGTAGGAAGGTCTCAAAATCGGAGACGTACACCAGAAATTTCTGAAAAGCATGAGCGGGATCAACCCCAATACAACCTGGTCGCGCCGCCACTCGGTGCAGACCCGCCAAGGAATTTCCAGTTTATAGAAAATCAAAACAGAATTTCTACTTTCTTGGGAATTATTTATGAAAATTCAACGACGATTTTCTAGATTGTTAGAAATTTGGTTTTCTATAAACTGGAAAATCCTCGAAGAATTCCTATAGATACTCTTTGAAATTCGCCAAGCATGTTCCATAAATAATTTCCAATCTTACAGTGTAGTGTACACAACGTGAGATATATATTTGAAAAAAAAAAGAAGTTATTTCTTTACAATACCTGCTACACTGGCTGTTCGTTGAAGAGCACGAGCTACAAGCAGTGTATCACGGGGATCTTTCGATATGGTAGCTTGCATCAAATCAAGAAAAAAATTATATAACTAAAAGAATAACATTGAACAAAATAAAAATTGATGGTAAAAATCTACAAATGGAATATATGTTTTTTACTTTTTACCTTTACTTGATTTTGTTCTCCGGCATATTCTATGTTTTGATATATTTTCCATGCAGTTCTCTGTCGCATTTCTAGTAGTGCCCTTTTTCGTCGATACCATTTTTGTATTAGTATCACTGCTGCCAGAGCTAATTTGATTAAAAAAAAGAAAAAAAGAAGAAGAAAGATGATATATATATATATATTGGTTGATATTTTATAGATGATAATCGATAAGAAAACAAGATCTTGGTAGATCGGTCCCTGTCTCTCGAATTCAAATAGTAGTTTAGTTTAAAAGTGATTGATGAAACTGTGGTGAGCAGGATTTTAATAAAGAATAGTAGTTTTCCTTTAGCACAATAGAAACTCAAAACAACATCTATATAGCAGTGTAGTATGTCATTGTGTTATGAACTATACCAGCTTCTGTTTGATGCTTCTCAGTCTACCTTCATTTAATTATCTATTGTGTGTGTATTAGTCATAAGATAAAGAGAGTCTTAAAAATAACGAAAAAATCGACTGTTTCCAAAATATCTCAATAACTACAGATCAGTTAAATTTTTGTCTGCTGAAAGGGCACATCTACACAACATATTGAACATAAAGTATGAAGGAATCAGATTGATTAGATGAACCGTTGATAAAGAAGTGTGGATTCCAAAATTTACCTTGGTGGGTTTTTCAAAGGTCAGAAATACTAAAAGTTTAACCTGGCTCGAGCTATAGCTGCGAGACAGGGTAAAAAAACTTACTAACGTCTGACTTTTTTTTATTTGTCGGATGTCTTGGCGGTTGTGGAATGTTGTATGGTGCAATTGAATGTGAACAACCCATTTTACAGCAATAGTCAAAAAAACAACGACAACTATTAGTCATATTTATTGTTCATTGAACTATAGCAATATAGGAACAATTTTAAAAAGTTACTAAAATAATTTGATATAATCATAATTTTATACCACATCAGTTTCATCAAAGTACCAGTGTCACATTTCTCCGTAGCAAAGGGAATGTTTTTTTTTTTTGTTTGGAACTGTAAAAGACAAGAAAGAAGCTATATCTGTCTGAAAATTCAAAAATAAAAAGGAAAAAGAGATTTATTTTATCTAAACGTACAAACTTATTTTTTTTTATCTAAAATAAATGGCATAATCTTCTTTTGTTTATGCACTTGTATTTTCTTTCCTTTTTTTTATACTATCTCACGTAGATAAGATTTTAGATAAAAAAATAATTTTTTTCTTCTTCCGCTTCTTCCTCGATGAAAATTATCATTTTTTATAATGTCTTTTTCCGTTTTCATTGAAAAAGAAAATCCCAAGAAAAATATATTTTGTCATCTCTCATTTTGGAAACGTGCAAAATCCTGTTTAATTAAAGTAATACAAAAATTGTAATATAATATTGAATATTAACTATATTTAGTCGTTGTAGATTTTTGACGGTTGATAACATCTCGAAAAATGAGAAGATAATGATTTAGTATTATATCATGGGAAATAAATTATCGAAAATGAATTTCTTGTAGATGTGATTAGATATGTGCTCTTTTTTTATTCTTTTATATAACGCAACAGAAAACATGACACACAACCTATTCTACTTTGTGGTTGAATAAAACAAGAATTAAAATTTTGTTATTGAACTATCTAAGGGTATAGTTTAGTATTTCTTTTCTTTTTATTCTTTTTGAAGAAAAGGTCGAATACAGGCATCTGATATTTCCTACGATTTTGCTCAACGTGAAAATGTTTGTTTAGAAAAACAACGATTGTTCTGTTATTTCAGAAGAAAAATTGTTCAGAAAGAAATTGAAAACAAAAAACTAATCGTTGAATGAAATCAGATTTAATAAAACATTTTACAATCTCGTCAGCATTTTATTTTTAAAGGTTTTTTAAACTCAGCCTATCTTCTCATATGAAAACCATGTAGCTGACGTCAACTTTGGTTGACGTAACAGGAACCCACACATACCTACTAAGATCTCGCTTCGGTTTGTTTAGCATTTTACCAGAATTCTATCAAACCTACACCTTTCGAGTACATTTAATACATCTCAGATCGTGCTAGGAATACTCTAAAAGTAATCTGTCTATCCGTCTTACTCTTCGGTCAGTCTAACTTTTTGTCTTCTGTCCTATTCAAAGGCAGGCAAATCTATCAGTCTTATTTCTAAAACCGAAGAAAAAGGTTTTGTTCTTGCCATTTATAATACGAAAAATTTTCTCTAATAAAATAACGATATCAGCTAGACTGACAGTACTGGCCGATCCTTATGATCCTGTCTTAAAATTTGAATTATTATGGAAAATAAAACAAATAAATTTATTGAATCTTAAAACAAGACCCATAAATCGATTGACGATAAGACCCGTCAAAAGGTCTTATTTTTAAGACTTTATGGAGCTAATCGTCGAGCAACATATGGAGGGGTCTCACTTTAAGATGTATTTTTTTATAAAATCAAGACATAAATGTTAAAGCCTAGTAAGAAAGATATAGAAAATGTGTAGGATTTTCTTTAAGATACAAAATTCCGTTTTAATTTATACATTCGTCGTTTTTTTAATATGATTTTAGTCTACACAGTGGGCATCCAAGCGGACATTAGGCGAAAAAGTCGATTCTCTTATTTACCAAATATAAATACTGCAAAAAATAGCCCTTCCAATTCTCTATCGAATGGTGTATAAATGTCTATTTTGATGTCC